CGGCACAGCAGGCGGGCCGGGGCGATGCGGGCTGCGGCGAGCGCATGCGCGGCGGGCGGCGGCGGCGGCGGCGTGCGGCGCCCTCGGCGGGGAGAAGGGCCGCAGGCTCTCGGCGCCCGCCGGCCGCGGGGAGGCGCTCTTGCGCCGGGCCGCGTTGATGATGTTTCGCGCCAGAAGCGCTTGCAGCTGGCGGCTGGGGGGCCGCGCCTCGGTCTCGGGTCGCAGCGGGGACACTGAGCGCTCGCTCCACGAGGGAGACATGGGCGGCGGCAGCGGCGGGGGGCTGCTCATGCTGCTCCCGCGGCCTGGCTCCCACGGCCCCGGGCTCACCCAGCCGTCCAGGCTGCTGGGGGCCGGGACGCGCCCGGCGTCCGGGGAGGGGAGGTGGGCAGCTCTCCCGGCGGTCCTGGGGAGAGAGCAGAGGGGGTGGGGCAGGCATTAGTGCTGGGGTCCTCCACATCGGGCTTTAGGAAGGGGCCGAGTCCGATTTGTCCATGACACCGAGAAGGGAAGCCACCGACCAAAGTCAGGTAGTGCCTACGGTAAAATGCAGGTGCCCAAACTCTCAGCCCAGAACTCCTGATGAGTTTCCCGCTGTCTTGTGTCTGTCCCCGTGTTAAGAAGGCTCGCTTTGGAGACAAGCTCCTTAACTTATTGACTTGAGCCTGGGCAAGTTATTTCACCCCTTTGGGCTTCAGTTTCTGCTTCTGTAAAATGGGGTGTGATAACAGTACTTACCTTATAGTGTAGTTGTGAGGGTTAAATGAGATAACTGATGGAAAAGAACATGCCATATATCGGCACATTCCTAAGTGCTCAATAGATGTTGATCACCATAAAGAAATACCAGAAGGACTGGTTGCGGTGGCTCATGCCTGTAATCCCAGCACTTTGGGAGGCCGAGGTGAGTGGATCACCTGAGGTCAGGAGTTAGAGACCAGCCTGGCCAACATGGCAAAAACCCTGTCTCTACTACAAATACAAATATTAGCTGGGCATGGTGGTGCATGCCTGTAATCTCAGCAACTGGTGGGGGTTGGGGGCTGAGGCAGGAGGATGGCTCAAACATGAGAGACCGAGGTTGCAGTGGGCTGAGATTGTGCCACTGCACTCCAGCCTAGGCAACAGCAAGACTCCGTCCAAGAAAGAGAAAACGAGAAAGAAAGAAAAGAAAGACTAGAAGGGTACACATGAGAGTAACGAAAGTGGTCACCTGTTAGGAAAAGGGGTGAGAACAGGAACAGAGCGGGTGCAGCCTGAGGCACTGGGAGCTGCTCTGTCTGTGGCACATCCTGGGAAGCTTTCAATCAGGCTAGCCGAGGGAGGCTTTGGTTCCCCATGATTTAGGGAGAGGAGCTGGGAGGGAGTGTCCTGGACCAAGGGCCACATGGGAAGAACTAGTGTCTCAGGGCCAAATGCCAAGTCAGGGTGGGCTCTGGATGTCCTCCCTCCCATCTGACCACAGTGCCACCCTGGTCAGGAAGGCAGGGCTAGAGCTCATGACCCAAGCCAGTCAACAAACCACTGAGGCAGAGGAAGCCGGCTCCTCAGCCGGGAGAGTAGGCTAGAGCAGGGAGATGGGACTAAGGCTTTTTAATACGTTACCTGTTATATAAATTTAGATTTCTGAACCATATGGATATATTATCTAATCAAAATTAAAATGTAAAAATATTGACTATTATTATTAAAGTTGGACTTAGGGAAAGCCCCTCTCAGCCCCAAACCCCTTGCCATGTTGCCATGTCATCTCATCTTTTCCTTGGATGCCTGAGCAGGGAGGAAGATCCCCCTGACAGACAGAAATACAAAAGGAAGTTGGGTCATTCCTCCCTAGGCAGCACACGCCCCTCACTGAGCTTTCTCACAGCATGGGAAGGGGAGTGTGGATTTAGAGAAGCCAAGACGGTAAACAGCTTTGAGGCTACGAAACACTGCTCTGCTATGCCCGGCCGTATCTGTTTCCTATCTACTTAAGGACTTTTCAGTCTACAAATTTCCTTCTCATCCTTTATCTCATTAGGTTTTCACAACAGATAGTGAGGTAGCTGGCATTACCACACCCATTTAACAAATGGTGTGTAAATAGTGTGTCCTGCCCCACCGGGAAGTGTGTGTGTGTGTGTGTGTGTGTGTTTGCACGCACATGCACGCTGCTCAAAGGCTACATGTGTAAGCAGTTTGAACTGGTTTGAAAGTGGAGGGCCTGGGAATCCCTGCCTAACATGTATCTCCTGAACCTTCTTCCAACTGTTCACGCAATAAGATTCCAGCAATAACCAGTCCGCCTTGCCATTCAATCCAATCCACTAGGAGTCATCCAGCAGAGTTCAGAGCAAGCCAGTCCATTCTGTGCTTCCTACCCAATCAAAATCTAGTACCATCCAAAGATGCATTCTTTCATCCAATCGGTGATCAGCCATAACCAAGCCAGTCATCCTCTCATCCGACTGAGTCTTCTAATTCCTCCCAATCGGAAGGAAATAGACACCAATTGTGTGTTTTATCCAAACAGAATGTAGCAGCTGCTAGATGAGCCCAGACTCAGAACTGGCACCCTTACCTAAAGAGGAATGTTAGACAACAGCCTGAATGGGACATTTTTCATGGATGCTAATGCCGGAGTGACCCATAGAAACTCCCTGGGGACATCCAAGTTCCCAGTCAAGTGGAAAGTTAGGGCTCAGCCTGGAATCCCACTCTTTTCCTCCCAGGGTCAGAATTGGGGTCAGAATTGTGTATGCATGAGCCAGAGACACTGCGAGCTTCTCTGTGTCTGTGGCACATCCCAGTCAGGCTGGCCCCGGAAGGCAGACCCCACGATTTAAGGAGAGGAGCTGGGAGGGAGGTCCGGGCTCCACAGCCAGATGTGCAGGACCAGAGCCAAATGCCAAATCAGGGTGGGCTCTGGCATAACCCAACACCTGGCCACAGTGCCACCCTAAGTAGGGGGTTGGGGCCCAGAGTTCATGATCCAAGCCAGTCAACAACCACTGAGGCAGAGGAAACAAGGGGTCTTCAGCCAGGAGAGCAGGCTGCACAGGAGAGCCATGATAACTACCTAAAAATCTCTAAAGCATTGTTTCTGCCTTTGGTGGCCACAGGGGGAATGCTGGGGCCAAGAAGTGGAAGGAATAATAATTCAGCCAAGACTGTAAAACAGAATGGCTCAAACAGGGGTTGAATGTTGAGGGCAGTGGTAAGCAACTCCTCATCATCTGGAGATGGGCCAGAGCCTGACCTCATCCTGACAGCCATGCCTGGGCACTGACCCTGTGTGTACGTTTGGAACGGGGGGTGTGCACAATATGAAAAGGCTTCAGGAAATCAGAACTGTTCACTTTCTGACAGAGAGCTCAATGCACCCTGCACACCAGAGCTCCCTGGGAATGCAAGGGGTGAAAATTCAAAAAGTAGCAGCCGCTCAACCCAGACCCAGACCCAAAGCAGGGCACGTGTGTGGGGTGAAGGCATGAATAGAACACAATCAACCCTGGACGGTCAGAGACCAGACAGAGCTCCCACACCACCTTCTGCAATCCTTTCACTGCACAGAAGGGGAAACTGAGGCCCAGAGATTGGAAGAGGTTTGTCTGAGGTCACACAGGAATCAGATTCAGACCTGGGGCTAGAACCCAGCTCTCCTGACCCTTGATGGCAGTTATTTCCTCTCCCCCAGAAACTCCATGCTTTCAGGAGCCAGGCAGTGAAAACCACGGCAAATGTGGGAAATGGCCAGATTTAGATAATCGGGAGCAGGGAGGGGGCCTGAGAGAACTGGAGAGCGAATGCCGCTAGAGGCATTTCTATTCTACTGTGTAAAGAACCCAAACAAACCTGAACTAGAAGAGGTAGTGCATTTCTTCCCAAAATCCTCTACAGTATTTTTGGCCAAACTCTGAGGGAAGGAAAGCACAAAAGGCTGTGATTTGCACAGGGTTCTGAATCCCTGCGTGCTGTGGAGAGGAAGCCCTCGCTTCCAAGCCAGCATACATCTGTCCCCGTGCAGAACCAGACACACGGCAGATGCAGGCAGCACGCAGGACACAGCCACACTTTCACACTCAGTCATTGAGCAGACCCACTCCACTTCCCAGGCTGGAATCAGGGAGGAGGAAGGCAGCCCTGACCCCTAGCAGCACGGAAGAAAGAAAGAAGCAAGACGGATTTGAGGCAGAGTGTATTGAGAACAGGAGAGAAAACAAAGTTGGGAGCAGAGCTCAGCCTGGCCGCAGGAGCTGCAGAAGGAAGGGTGGGCTCTTCCATTGCTGGCCCTCAAGGGTGGAAGGGAGCAGGGTCCAGGGCAGGGGCTTCACTCTGTTCTGGGAGAGCCCAGGCCTGAAGGAGCTGAGCTCACTCACAACTCCCCCACACATACCCTCTCGATCTATGGGGAAATGAGCTCACTAAGAAGGCACCCTTGTTCCCATGGAGACAAGCCCAGAGCTCACAAAAACTGCAGGCTCAGCCCAGCATGGGCACCGCCTCCACCACCCCTTGCCCCACTGGGGAGCCCAGAAATAGGGCTGAGAAAAAGAAGTGGGTGGTCCTCGGCCCCCAGCCTTGCGAAGCTTCCATCTGAATCCTGCCACTTGAGTCTGTATTCTCTCACCCCCGCCCCCCACAAAGCCTTGTTTGGCAGGGGGCTGTATCATATCACCTCTAAAAGTGTCAGAGGCGGGGGGAGTCTCCAGCTACCTGACTCAACACCCTCACTGTATCAATGGGGAAACTGAGACTTAAGGACATACATGCAGTCGGTCGTTAGAATCCAGATCCCAGATTTTCCTCAAAACTCTAAGATCTCCTCTGTGCCCCTCCCCCTGCACTGCTGTGCACCTGCCGCAGCTCCTGCCATGCTCTCACTGTCCTCAGGCAATCCTGAGCCTGAGCCAGCCCAGCCCGGGCTTCTCATCTTCGACTTCCTGCAGCGGCTCATTCCAACCATTCCCTCACCAGGTCACCCTCACAGCCATCTAACTCTACCTGTCCTATGACAACAGCCCATTTCCTTTCTCTTTCTTCGCAAGGGACTGTCTTGTCACTTACAAGCCTTTCTCCAAAGCACCAGCCTATGTTCTCACCCCTCACAGACTGTCATCGCTAGAAGGGCCCTCCTTATATAAATAAAACTGAGGCCCAGAGAGAATGTGAGTGGGCCAAACTCACACAGCAAATGGGAGGCTGATATGGGACTGGTACTCTCCTCTCCTGCCTCCCTTTGGGCCCCGTGCCACTGCACTGGGGAGGCTTCTTCTAGTCAGGTAGATCTTGGTTGAATTTGAAGCCAAAACAGCAATGGATACATGGCTAGGGGCCACCCTCCCTGTGGCACACCCCACATCTGCACAGGCTCCTACAGAGCTCTCCTTCTCTCGGGGATCCTCTGGGACATCCTCCACCCCTAAAGCAGTGAGAACAAGCCAGGTAGAACCGGGGCTGAGGCCTGGGCCCACTGGTCTCCCTAAAACAGAGCCAGGTCTCAGAGAGGGCGGGAAGAAAAGCGTCAGACAGCAGCGGTGGGCTGAGTCCGCAGCCAGCAGAAGGACTCCGGAGAGGAGCGCAGGCGGAGGTGAGGCAAAGCTCTCTGAAGCAGCGGAGAGGAAACGGTGTCCAAAAGGCAGAGGTGGCAGAGACAGGCCCGTGGAGGTGAGAATCCAGCGACAGGAAGGAAGACGCCAGGAGCCTGGGCCTCGGGAGGGAGGCCTCCTGGCAGCTGAGGAGGCAGACACCTTGGCTGGCTGACTCCACAGGCACCGGCGGGCTCTGTCTGCTCCAGAAGTTTCCCGTTAGGATCCCCTTCTAGGCCACTCCCCCAGCAAGACGCTGGCATCAGACCGCATCCCTACAGCTCACAAAGGCCAGAGGACGCCCCTCTGCCGCATCAGGGCTGCCACTGCACAGTTCTACTCCCAGGACCCTCCTCCCCACTCAGACATGGAGTCTGACCCCAGCTGTAGTAGGGGAGGGGCAGCTGAGCTCGGAGAGGGGAGGCGACTCGCCCAAGGTCACAAAGCCAGCTGGTGGCCGCATCTGACCTTGAACCATGGACTCCCCATTCTCCTCACTCAGCTCTGTGCCATTTCCTGCCATTTCCTGCTCTCCAGCTGGCCCTCAAGGAGGGGACTTGATCGGCAGTGGAACCCCCATGGGGTCCGTTACTTGAAGCAGAAGGAAGGCTTCCACACCTGAGCCTCGATCCCGGCGTTCCGGGTGGAGAAGGAGGGCCTGGGGGCCTGCTTGGCTCGGGGAGACCATGCCCTGGAGGGAGACACAGGGGAGATGTCTCCGCCGTAGGGAGGGCTCACGGCAGTGGGCTGCAGGCTGTCCTGGCCGGGGGAGGTGTAGAGGCCCGGCGAGGAGCGGGAGGCCCGAGGCAGGCCAGGAGACGGAGGAAGACACCCCTTGGGCAGGTTGGGCACCAGGTCCAAGGAGGTGGGCTTGACGGGCGAGGCAGCTCTTGGGGAGACCTTGGCAGGCTCCTTGATCGGTGAGAGGACAAAGAGCGAGGGCCGCAGCTGGTACGGCGGCTGCTTGGTGGGCTCCGGGCGCAGGACCCCGTTCTCAGGCAGATAGCCATGATAGAGGGAGGCAGGTGGGGTCCGGGCTGGGCTTCGGGATGCCACTCGGAAGGCCCCGGGGGCGTTAGTGGGGTATTTCCAGGAAGAAGGCAGGGACATGGTGGGTGATGGGCAGCGGGCCACCTCTGGCGTGTGGCTTGAAGACTCGATGACGTATTTCTCCATCCGTGACTGGCGGCGTGCGTAGAGCTCAGCCCCCTTCCCAGAGGCCTCGGAGAGGTTCTGGTTGGGTTTGGGCTTCGGCTTGGCCTGGATGCGGGGTGACTTGAGGCAGGAGGCCCACTCTGGGAGTGCCTCCTCCGCCGCCGGGCTGGCTCTGTCACGAGGGGCTGGCTCCTGCTGGAAGTTGGAGGCCTCGGCCCCCAGGGCAAAGGGCTCCTCGTCCACGCCCACCTCCCCTTGGTCCCTCTGCCGCCGCTTCTCATCCGCTGTCTGTACCAGATCCAGCAGGTCTGGATTCGGGGTCACCTTGGGCTTCTCCACAAAGGTGAACATGGATTTGCGGCTGCCCCGGCGGGCCATCGACTCCTCCAGGATGCCCGTCTTGCTGGCGGGAACCGCCTGGCCCTTCAGGTGAGAAGACCTGGGGTCGGAGCTGGGGTACAGGGCAGAATAAGAGGGAGGAGACCTCACCCAGGAAGCCAGAGGGGCTGTGGACAAGGTCTCAGTGTAGGTGGGGGGTGGAGTGAAGTTCCCCAAGGGGCGTCTCTCTGAGACCGGGCTTCGCTGCCCCATCAGCCTCCTTTCCACCATGGGGCTGCAGGACATGATATGTCTCTGTGGCCGGGGGCTCCTGTCTGGCATACTTGGGGGCTGGGGAGCCGGGGCCTTCTCCCCAAAATGTCGTCTCTCTAGCATGGGGCTCCTCTCCATCTGGCTGGTGCCCCCTGGCGCCTGGATCCCAAAAGGCCTGGCCGTCCTGTTGACCACTGATGGGGGCTTGGCCAGTGTGAAGTGGACCTCACTGTATACCTTGGTGGGTGTGGTGGCAGCTGCTCGCCCAGACATCTCTTGATCTGCTGACACCACTAGGGTGTTGGGCTGGATGTCGATGAGCAGGGAGCTGGACATGAAATCTGAGGCTGGGGGCCTGGAGCTGGGGATGAGCGTAGCTTCTCTGGAGAAGGTGCTCGTGGCAGGAGCTGGAGTCGACACCTTGTCAATTAGGAGCGTGCTGCATCTCACCTCCTCGGCCGGTGCCTGGGGTTGCCCGTCAGCACACAAGGTGCTGGGTTTGGAAGCAGGCACCGTGCCATTGGATGGGAGCTGGGCCTCTGAGGAATTCTGCTGGATGCCAGAAAGTGGCAGGCTCTGTGGGACGGCAGTTGCCGGGGGGTTCTGATTGACATCGGTGGCTGGCGGGTTGTGGCTGCTGTTAGAAGCGGCTGTGGTTAGCGTGGCACTGGGCGAGGCGAGGTTTTGGTTGACATCTGCAGCGGGCTGTGGGCCTCCGCTGGAGGTGGGGCCGGTGAGGACTGCTGGGCCTCTCGGTTTGGGACAGGTGGAGCCCATTGGCCGTCAGCAGTGCCGCATTCTCCTTTAGATAAACCACCAGTGGCACTTCTTCCTCCTCACTGGCCACCTTCTCCAGGTGCCGGAGCAAGCTATCCTCCTCTGAGTAGCCCTCCATGCTGTGGCCAGGTACCCCTCTGTCGGGGCTCTGGGGACTGGGGTGCTGTGGAGGGCCTGGCTCCGGCAGCGAGGTGGAACTCAGGTCCTGAGCCCTGGGGCATGACCTGGGGGGCTTGCAGGGAGCACCCTGAGGGACTTCTGCTGGGCTTCTGTCCCCTCTGGCCGTGGCTCTCAAAGTGAAACTCGTTCACCCATCTGCCCGGTCGCCTGTTGAAGAGCTGGACACCGCGGGAATTGGAGCTGGTGCGGGTGGTCAGCTGGGCTGCGATCTGCTGGCTCCGCACCTTGGCCTCTTTCCAGATCCTTCTCCGTGAGGCCCTAGTGCTCCGGCCCAACGCTGCGGGAAGGAACAGAAGCCCAGTTAGCAACAGGCATGCAGTGACACAGGGGTGAGACCCCAACCCAGGTGGCGCTGAAGGAATTAAGAAGCAGACACAAAGATAGAGTGCAAAATGGGACTATCAGGGGGCCAGCAGCCTTCTGAGCTGAGAGCCTCAGGGCTGACAGCATTTCTGGGCTGAGACAGACAGGCGTACAGAGATGGGTCGCCTCGGCCCTTCCTACACAGGATCTCTTTCCTCTGGAATTTGATCCTCACTCACCGTTTCTTAGAATTAGCTCACTTCGTCATCAGCCCGGATCTACCTTTCATGGCCCCACTCAAATGCCACCACCTCTACACCGCCCTGATTATCCTCTCAGGATTAAACTGGTCCTTGATTTGGATGCCCCCTGACAGTTGCTGTATACGGCGTTGTTTACCAGACTGAGAGTGAATACCTCACCCTAGAAGTCCCACTGTGTCCCTGGCTCCTCTCCACCAGCCTTCTCTTCTCTCACTAGGCTCTGCCACCCGGCTTGCTTTCTCTTCCATGAAAATGCCAAGGATGTTCCTGCCCCAGGGCCTTGGACTCGCTGCTCCTCTGCTTGGAATCATCTTTTCCTCGCAGCAGTCCCTGCTGGTTCCTTCTTGCTGCTCAAATCTCAGCTGGAATGTCCTCCTCTCTGGAGGCGCCTTTCCCTTCTCCTACACCACCTGTTTTATTTCTCCGTAGCATTCACCAAGTCGAAATGGTCTTTACGTTACCCCTGTCTATTACCCGTCTCCCTCACCCAGCGCAGAGCTCCAAGGGGCGATGGGCCCTGCCTGTCTTGTTTTTTCTGTCTGTCTTGAGAAGGAGTTTTGCTCGTTGTGGCCAGGCTGAGGGCGTTCACACTCAGTTTGGTAAATGTCGTATCAGCAACAGTCAGGGGAATCCAAATCAAGGATGGCTAATAGTTCCCCTTTTTAGAGCAGGTAATGCCATGAACATGGGCTAAAAATTTATTTATTCATTCGATTTTATTTTTATTTTTACTTTTCTAGAATATAGGCTCTTGCCTCTGTTGCCCTGGCTGGAGTGCAGTGGTACTCATCATAGCTCACTGCTCAGCCTCAACCTCACTGTGCTCAACACATCCTCCCACCTCAGCCTCCCAAAGTAGCTGGGGAGTATCAGTGTGTGCCCACCGTTCTTAGCCTTTTTTTTTTTTTTTTTTTTTGTATTTTTTGTAGAGAAGGGGTCTCACTGGTGTTGCCCAAGCTAGTCTTCAAACTCCTGGGCCTAAGTGATCCTCTGGCCTTGGCTTCCTAAAATGCGAGATTACAGGCATAAGCCACCATACCTGGCCCTAAAAATTAAAAACATAAAAATAGTATACAGTAAAAAAGTGTAGCCCCATCCCTGATGACTCCACATCACACTTAGGTAATCACCCTTGTCAGTTTGTACTTCTATATCCTCCCAGGATTTTCTTCCCACTTTTACTTAAATGACACATCTCGTCTCAACAACAACAACTAGCTCCTAAAGAAGTGACGTCAGAGGTGCAAAGAAATACGAAGTGAATACATTTTAAGTCTATAAGTGTAGGGAAGACAATCCTAGTGAGTGGATATAATGAAGCAACTGACACAGGGTATAGTTTACCTAATATGATAGATGTGAGAGCATCACATCACAAGAGGACATTGGCATAAACAAAAAAAAACCCCAATAATTTAAAACAAACACTAGTATATACTTTTTTATGTTTTTAATTTTTAGGGGCCAGGTATGGTGCTTATGCCTGTAATCTCAGCATTTTAGGAAGCCAAGGCCAGAGGATCACTTAGGCCCAGGAGTTTGAGACTAGCTTGGGCAACACAGTGAGACCCCTTCTCTACAAAAAATACAAAAGGCTAAGAACGGTGGCACACACTGATACTCCCAGCTACTTGGGAGGCTGAGGTGGGAGGATGGTTTGAGCCCAGGAGGTTGAGGCTGACGTGAGCTATGATAGTACCACTGCACTCCAGCCAGGGCAACAGAGCAAGAGCCTATCTCAGAAAGTAAAATAAAATAAATCGATATGAATAAATAAATTTTTAGCCCATGTTCATGCATTACCTGCTCTAAAAAGGGGAACTATTAGCCATCCTTGATTTGGATTCCCCCTGACTGTTGCTGATACGACATTTTACCAAACTGAGTGTGAACGCCTCAGCCTGGGCCACAACAGCAAAACTCCTTCTCAAGACAGACAGAAAAACAAGACAGGCAGGGCCATCGCCCCTTGGAGCTCTGCGCTGGGTGAGGAGACGGGTAATAGACAGGGTAACGTAAAGACCATTTCGACTTGGTGAATGCTACGGAGAAAATAAAACAGGTGGGGTAGGAGAAGGAAAGGCGCCTCCAGAGAGAGGACATTCCAGCTGAGATTTGAGCAGCAAGAAGGAACCAGCAGGGACTGCTGCCGAGGAAAGATGATTCCAAGCAGAGGGAGCAGCGAGTCCAAAGGCCCTGGGGCAGGAACATCCTTGGCATTTTCATGGAAGAGAAAGCAAGCCGGGGTGGCAGAGCCTAGTGAGAGAAGAGAAGGCTGGTGGGAGAGGAGCCAGGGACACAGTGGGACTTCTAGGGTGAGGTATTCACTCTCAGTCTGGTACAACGCCGTATCAGCAACTGTCAGGGGGCATCCAAATCAAGGACCAGTTAATCCTGAGAGGATAATCAGGGCGGTGTAGAGGTGGTGGCATTTGAGTGGGGCCATGAAAGGTAGATCCGGGCTGATGACGAAGTGAGCTAATTCTAAGAAACGGTGAGTGAGGATCAAATTCCAGAGGAAGAGATCCTGTGTAGGAAGGGCCGAGGCGACCCATCTCTGTACGCCTGTCTGTCTCAGCCCAGAATGCTGTCAGCCCTGAGGCTCTCAGCTCAGAAGGCTGCTGGCCCCCTGATAGTCCCATTTTGCACTCTATCTTTGTGTCTGCTTCTTAATTCCTTCAGCGCCACCTGGGTTGGGGTCTCACCCCTGTGTCACTGCATGCCTGTTTGCTAACTGGGCTTCTGTTCCTTCCCGCAGCGTTGGGCCGGAGCACTAGCCTCACGGAGAAGGATCTGAAAGAGGCCAAGGTGCGGAGCCAGCAGATCGCAGCCCAGCTGACCACCCGCCCCAGCTCCAATTCCCGCCGGTGTCCAGCTCTTCAACAGGCGCCGGCAGAGGGTGAACGAGTTCACTTTGGAGAGCCACGGCCAGAGGGGACAGAAGCCCAGCCAGAAGTCCCTCAGGGTGCTCCCTGCAAGCCCCCCAGGTCATGCCCCAGGGCTCAGCCTGAGTTCCACCTCGCTGCCGGAGCCAGGCCCTCCACAGCACCCCAGTCCCCAGAGCCCCGACAGAGGGGTACCTGGCCACAGCATGGAGGGCTACTCAGAGGAGGATAGCTTGCTCCGGCACCTGGAGAAGGTGGCCAGTGAGGAGGAAGAAGTGCCACTGGTGGTTTATCTAAAGGAGAATGCGGCACTGCTGACGGCCAATGGGCTCCACCTGTCCCAAAACCGAGAGGCCCAGCAGTCCCTCACCGGCCCCACCTCCAGCGGAGGCCCACAGCCCGGCTGCAGATGTCAAACCAAAACCTCGCCTCGCCCAGTGGCCACGCTAAACCACAGCCCGCTTCTAACAGCAGCCACAACCCGCCAGCCACGATGTCAAATCAGAACCCCCCGGCAACTGCCGTCCCACAGAGCCTTGCCACTTTCTGGCATCCAGCAGAATTCCTCAGAGGCCCAGCTCCCATCCAATGGCACGGTGCATGCTTCCAAAACCCAGCACCTTGCTGTGCTGACGGGCAACCCCAGGCACCGGCCGAGGAGGTGAGATGCAGCACGCTCCTAATTGACAAGGTGTCGACTCCAGCTCCTGCCACGAGCACCTTCTCCAGAGAAGCTACGCTCATCCCCAGCTCCAGGCCACCAGCCTCAGATTTCATGTCCAGCTCCCTGCTCATCGACATCCAGCCCAACACCCTAGTGGTGTCAGCAGATCAAGAGATGTCTGGGCGAGCAGCTGCCACCACACCCACCAAGGTATACAGAGTGAGTCCACTTCACACTGGCCAAGCCCCCATCAGTGGTCAACAGGACGGCCAGGCCTTTTGGGATCCAGGCGCCAGGGTGGCACCAGCCAGATGGAGAGGAGCCCCATGCTAGAGAGAGAACAACATTTTGGGGAGAAGGCCCCGGCTCCCCAGCCCCCAAGTATGCCAGACAGGAGCCCCCGGCCACAGAGACATATCATGTCCTGCAGCCCCATGGTGGAAAGGAGGCTGATGGGGCAGCGAAGCCGCGGTCTCAGAGAGACCGCCCACTTGGGGAACTTCACTCCACCCCCCACCTACACTGAGACCTTGTCCACAGCCCCTCTGGCTTCCTGGGTGAGGTCTCCTCCCTCTTATTCTGCCCTGTACCCCAGCTCCGACCCCAGGTCTTCTCACCTGAAGGGCCAGGCGGTTTCCCGCCAGCAAGACGGGCATCCTGGAGGAGTCGAATGGCCCGCCGGGGCACCGCAAATCCATGTTCACCTTTGTGGAGAAGCCCAAGGTGACCCCGAATCCAGACCTGCTGGATCTGGTACAGACAGGCGGGATGAGAAGCGGCGGCAGAGGGACCAAGGGGAGGTGGGCGTGGACGAGGAGCCCTTTGCCCTGGGGGCCGAGCCTCCAACTTCCAGCAGGAGCCAGCCTCCCTCGTGACAGAGCCAGCCCGGCGGCGGAGGAGGGCACTCCCAGAGTGGGCCTCCTGCCTCAAGTCACCCCGCATCCAGGCCAAGCCGAAGCCCAAACCCAACCAGAACCTCTCCGAGGCCTCTGTGGAAGGGGCTGAGCTCTACGCACGGCCGCCAGTCACGGATGGAGAAATAACGTCATCGCGTCTTCAAGCCACACGCCAGAGGTTGGCCCGCTGCCCACACCCACCATGTCCCTGCCTTCTTCCTGGAATACCCCACTACCGCCCCCGGGGCCTTCCGAGTGGCATCCCGAAGCCCAGCCCGGACCCCACCTGCCTCCCTCTATCATGGCTATCTGCCTGAGAAACGGGGTCCTGACGCCCGGAGCCCACCAAGCAGCCGCCGTACCAGCTGCGGCCCTCGCTCTTTTGTCCTCTCACCGATCAAGGAGCCTGCCAAGGTCTCCCCAAGAGCTGCCTCGCCCGTCAAGCCCACCTCCTTGGACCTGGTGCCCAACCTGCCAAGGGGTGTCTTCCTCCGTCTCCTGGCCTGCCTCGGGCCATCCCGCTCCTCGCCGGGCCTCTACACCTCCCCCGGCCAGGACAGCCTGCAGCCCACTGCCGTGAGCCCTCCCTACGGCGGAGACATCTCCCCTGTGTCTCCCTCCAGGGCATGGTCTCCCCGAGCCAAGCAGGCCCCCAGGCCCTCCTTCTCCACCCGGAACGCCGGGATCGAGGCTCAGGTGTTGGAAGCCTCCTTCTGCTTCAAGAAACGGACCCCCATGGGGGTTCCACTGCCGATCAAGTCCCCTCCTTGAGGGCCAGCTGGAGAGCAGGAAATGGCAGGAAATGGCACAGAGCTGAGTGAGGAGAATGGGGAGTTCCATGGTTCAAGGTCAGATGCGGCCACCAGCTGGCTTTGTGACCTTGGGCGAGTCGCCTCCCCTCTCCGAGCTGCAGCTGCCCCTCCCCTACTACAGCTGGGGTCAGACTCCATGTCTGAGTGGGGAGGAGGGTCCTGGAGAGAACTGTCGTGGCAGCCCTGATGCGGCAGAGGGGCGTCCTCTGGCCTTTGTGAGCTGTAGGGATGCGGTCTGATGCCAGCGTCTTGCTGGGGGAGTGGCCTAGAAGGGGATCCTAACGGGAACTTCTGGAGCAGACAGAGCCCGCCGGTGCCTGTGGAGTCAGCCAGCCAAGGGTCTGCCTCCTCAGCTGCCCAGGAGGCCTCCCTCCCGAGGCCCAGGCTCCTGGCGTCTTCCTTCCTGTCGCTGGATTCTCACCTCCACGGGCCTGTCTCTGCCACCTCTGCCTTTTGGACACCGTTTCCTCTCCGCTGCTTCAGAGAGCTTTGCCTCACCTCCGCCTGCGCTCCTCTCCGGAGTCCTTCTGCTGGCTGCGGACTCAGCCCACCGCTGCTGTCTGACGCTTTTCTTCCCGCCCTCTCTGAGACCTGGCTCTGTTTTAGGGAGACCAGTGGGCCCAGGCCTCAGCCCCGGTTCTACCTGGCTTGTTCTCACTGCTTTAGGGGTGGAGGATGTCCCAGAGGATCCCCGAGAGAAGGAGAGCTCTGTAGGAGCCTGTGCAGATGTGGGTGTGCCACAGGGAGGGTGGCCCCTAGCCATGTATCCATTGGCTGTTTTGGCTTCAAATTCAACCAAGATCTACCTGACTAGAAGAAGCCTCCCCAGTGCAGTGGCACGGGGCCCAAAGGGAGGCAGGAGAGGAGAGTACCAGTCCCATATCAGCCTCCCATTTGCTGTGTGAGTTTGGCCCACTCACATTCTCTCTGGGCCTCAGTTTTATTTATATAAGGAGGGCCCTTCTAGCGATGACAGTCTGTGAGGGGTGAGAACATAGGCTGGTGCTTTGGAGAAAGGCTTGTAAGTGACAAGACAGTCCCTTGCGAAGAAAGAGAAAGGAAATGGGCTGTTGTCATAGGGACAGGTAGAGTTAGATGGCTGTGAGGGTGACCTGGTGAGGGAATGGTTGGGAATGAGCCGCTGCAGGAAGTCGAAGATGAGAAGCCCGGGCTGGGCTGGCTCAGGCTCAGGATTGCCTGAGGACAGTGAGAGCATGGCAGGAGCTGCGGCAGGTGCACAGCAGTGCAGGGGGAGGGCACAGAGGAGATCTTAGAGTTTTGAGGAAAATCTGGGATCTGGATTCTAACCGACCGACTGCATGTATGTCCTTAAGTCTCAGTTTCCCCATTGATACAGTGAGGGTGTTGAGTCAGGTAGCTGGAGACTCCCCCCGCCTCTGACACTTTTAGAGGTGATATGATACAGCCCCCTGCCAAACAAGGCTTTGTGGGGGGCGGGGGTGAGAGAATACAGACTCAAGTGGCAGGATTCAGATGGAAGCTTCGCAAGGCTGGGGGGCCGAGGACCACCCACTTCTTTTTCTCAGCCCTATTTCTGGGCTCCCCAGTGGGGCAAGGGTGGTGGAGGCGGTGCCCATGCTGGGCTGAGCCTGCAGTTTTTGTGAGCTCTGGGCTTGTCTCCATGGGAACAAGGGTGCCTTCTTAGTGAGCTCATTTCCCATAGATCGAGAGGGTATGTGTGGGGGAGTTGTGAGTGAGCTCAGCTCCTTCAGGCCTGGGCTCTCCCAGAACAGAGTGAAGCCCCTGCCCTGGACCCCTGCTCCCTTCCACCCTTGAGGGCCAGCAATGGAAGAGCCCACCCTTCCTTCTGCAGCTCCTGCGGCCAGGCTGAGCTCTGCTCCCAACTTTGTTTTCTCTCCTTTCTCAATACACTCTGCCTCAAATCCGTCTTGCTTCTTTCTTTCTTCCGTGCTGCTAGGGTCAGGGCTGCCTTCCTCCTCCCTGATTCCAGCCTGGGAAGTGGAGTGGGTCTGCTCAATGACTGAGTGTGAAAGTGTGGCTGTGTCCTGCGTGCTGCCTGCATCTGCCGTGTGTCTGGTTCTGCACGGGGACAGATGTATGCTGGCTTGGAAGCGAGGGCTTCCTCTCCACAGCACGCAGGGATTCAGAACCCTGTGCAAATCACAGCCTTTTGTGCTTTCCTTCCCTCAGAGTTTGGCAAAAATACTGTAGAGGATTTTGGGAAGAAAATGCACTACCTCTTCTAGTTCAGGTTTGGTTTGGGTTCTTTACACAGTAGAATAGAAAGCCTCTAGCGGCATTCGCTCTCCAGTTCTCTCAGGCCCCCTCCCTGCTCCCGATTATCTAAATCTGGCCATTTCCCACATTTGCCGTGGTTTTCACTGCCTGGCTCCTGAAAGCATGGAGTTTCTGGGGGAGAGGAAATAACTGCCATCAAGGGTCAGGAGAGCTGGGTTCTAGCCCCAGGTCTGAATCTGATTCCTGTGTGACCTCAGACAACCTCTTCCAATCTCTGGGCCTCAGTTTCCCCTTCTGTGCAGTGAAAGGATTGCAGAAGGTGGTGTGGGAGCTCTGTCTGGTCTCTGACCGTCCAGGGTTGATTGTGTTCTATTCATGCCTTCACCCCACACACGTGCCCTGCTTTGGGTCTGGGGTCTGGGTTGAGCGGCTGCTACTTTTTGAATTTTCACCCCTTGCATTCCCAGGGAGCTCTGGTGTGCAGGGTGCATTGAGCTCTCTGTCAGAAAGTGAACAGTTCTGATTTCCTGAAGCCTTTTCATATTGTGCACACCCCCCGTTCCAAACGTACACACAGGGTCAGTGCCCAGGCATGGCTGTCAGGATGAGGTCAGGCTCTGGCCCATCTCCAGATGATGAGGAGTTGCTTACCACTGCCCTCAACATTCAACCCCTGTTTGAGCCATTCTGTTTTACAGTCTTGGCTGAATTATTATTCCTTCCACTTCTTGGCCCCAGCATTCCCCCTGTGGCCACCAAAGGCAGAAACAATGCTTTAGAGATTTTTAGGTAGTTATCATGGCTCTCCTGTGCAGCCTGCTCTCCTGGCTGAAGACCCCTTGTTTCCTCTGCCTCAGTGGTTGTTGACTGGCTTGGATCATGAACTCTGGGCCCCAACCCCCTACTTAGGGTGGCACTGTGGCCAGGTGTTGGGTTATGCCAGAGCCCACCCTGATTTGGCATTTGGCTCTGGTCCTGCACATCTGGCTGTGGAGCCCGGACCTCCCTCCCAGCTCCTCTCCTTAAATCGTGGGGTCTGCCTTCCGGGGCCAGCCTGACTGGGATGTGCCACAGACACAGAGAAGCTCGCAGTGTCTCTGGCTCATGCATACACAATTCTGACCCCAATTCTGACCCTGGGAGGAAAAGAGTGGGATTCCAGGCTGAGCCCTAACTTTCCACTTGACTGGGAACTTGGATGTCCCCAGGGAGTTTCTATGGGTCACTCCGGCATTAGCATCCCATGAAAAATGTCCCATTCAGGCTGTTGTCTAACATTCCTCTTTAGGTTAAAGGGTGCCAGTTCTGAGTCTGGGCTCATCTAGCAGCTGCTACATTCTGTTTGGATAAAACACACAATTGGTGTCTATTTCCTTCCGATTGGGAGGAATTAGAAGACTCAGTCGGATGAGAGGATGACTGGCTTGGTTATGGCTGATCACCGATTGGATGAAAGAATGCATCTTTGGATGGTACTAGATTTTGATTGGGTAGGAAGCACAGAATGGACTGGCTTGCTCTGAACTCTGCTGGATGACTCCTAGTGGATTGGATTGAATGGCAAGGCGGACTGGTTATTGCTGGAATCTTATTGCGTGAACAGTTGGAAGAAGGTTCAGGAGATACATGTTAGGCAGGGATTCCCAGGCCCTCCACTTTCAAACCAGTTCAAACTGCTTACACATGTAGCCTTTGAGCAGCGTGCATGTGCGTGCAAACACACACACACACACACACACACACTTCCCGGTGGGGCAGGACACACTATTTACACACCATTTGTTAAATGGGTGTGGTAATGCCAGCTACCTCACTATCTGTTGTGAAAACCTAATGAGATAAAGGATGAGAAGGAAATTTGTAGACTGAAAAGTCCTTAAGTAGATAGGAAACAGATACGGCCGGGCATAGCAGAGCAGTGTTTCGTAGCCTCAAAGCTGTTTACCGTCTTGGCTTCTCTAAATCCACACTCCCCTTCCCATGCTGTGAGAAAGCTCAGTGAGGGGCGTGTGCTGCCTAGGGAGGAATGACCCAACTTCCTTTTGTATTTCTGTCTGTCAGGGGGATCTTCCTCCCTGCTCAGGCATCCAAGGAAAGATGAGATGACATGGCAACATGGCAAGGGGTTTGGGGCTGAGAGGGGCTTTCCCTAAGTCCAACTTTAATAATAATAGTCAATATTTTTACATTTTAATTTTGATTAGATAATATATCCATATGGTTCAGAAATCTAAATTTATATAACAGGTAACGTATTAAAAAGCCTTAGTCCCATCTCCCTGCTCTAGCCTACTCTCCCGGCTGAGGAGCCGGCTTCCTCTGCCTCAGTGGTTTGTTGACTGGCTTGGGTCATGAGCTCTAGCCCCTGCCTTCCTGACCAGGGTGGCACTGTGGTCAGATGGGAGGGAGGACATCCAGAGCCCACCCTGACTTGGCATTTGGCCCTGAGACACTAGTTCTTCCCATGTGGCCCTTGGTCCAGGACCTCCCTCCCAGCTCCTCTCCCTAAATCATGGGGAAACCAAAGCCTCCCTCGGCTAGCCTGATTGAAAGCTTCCCAGGATGTGCCACAGACAGAGCAGCTCCCAGTGCCTCAGGCTGCACCCGCTCTGTTCCTGTTCTCACCCCTTTTCCTAACAGGTGACCACTTTCGTTACTCTCATGTGTACCCTTCTAGTCTTTCTTTTCTTTCTTTCTCGTTTTCTCTTTCTTGGACGGAGTCTTGCTGTTGCCTAGGCTGGAGTGCAGTGGCACAATCTCAGCCCACTGCAACCTCGGTCTCTCATGTTTGAGCCATCCTCCTGCCTCAGCCCCCAACCCCCACCAGTTGCTGAGATTACAGGCATGCACCACCATGCCCAGCTAATATTTGTATTTGTAGTAGAGACAGGGTTTTGCCATGTTGGCCAGGCTGGTCTCTAACTCCTGACCTCAGGTGATCCACTCACCTCGGCCTCCCAAAGTGCTGGGATTACAGGCATGAGCCACCGCAACCAGTCCTTCTGGTATTTCTTTATGGTGATCAACATCTATTGAGCACTTAGGAATGTGCCGATATATGGCATGTTCTTTTCCATCAGTTATCTCATTTAACCCTCACAACTACACTATAAGGTAAGTACTGTTATCACACCCCATTTTACAGAAGCAGAAACTGAAGCCCAAAGGGGTGAAATAACTTGCCCAGGCTCAAGTCAATAAGTTAAGGAGCTTGTCTCCAAAGCGAGCCTTCTTAACACGGGGACAGACACAAGACAGCGGGAACTCATCAGGAGTTCTGGGCTGAGAGTTTGGGCACCTGCATTTTACCGTAGGCACTACCTGACTTTGGTCGGTGGCTTCCCTTCTCGGTGTCATGGACAAATCGGACTCGGCCCCTTCCTAAAGCCCGATGTGGAGGACCCCAGCACTAATGCCTGCCCCACCCCCTCTGCTCTCTCCCCAGGACCGCCGGGAGAGCCTGCCCACCTCCCCTCCCCGGACGCCGGGCGCGTCCCGGCCCCCCAGCAGCCTGGACGGCTGGGTGAGCCCGGGGCCGTGGGAGCCAGGCCGCGGGAGCAGCATGAGCAGCCCCCCGCCGCTGCCGCCGCCCATGTCTCCCTCGTGGAGCGAGCGCTCAGTGTCCCCGCTGCGACCCGAGACCGAGGCGCGGCCCCCCAGCCGCCAGCTGCAAGCGCTTCTGGCGCGAAACATCATCAACGCGGCCCGGCGCAAGAGCGCCTCCCCGCGGCCGGCGGGCGCCGAGAGCCTGCGGCCCTTCTCCCCGCCGAGGGCGCCGCCGCCGCCGCCGCCGCCGCCGCCGCGCATGCGCTCGCCGCAGCCCGCTCGCCCCGGCCCGCCTGCTGTGCCGGGGGCAGCGTTTGCGCCCATCCTGCGGAGCCCGCTGCCCCCAGGGCCTTCCTCCTGCACCAGTCCCCGGAGCCCGCTGCCCGCGCCTCCCAGGCCCTTCCTCTACCGCCGCTCGCCCACGGACTCCGACGTGTCCCTCGACTCCGAGGACTCCGGGGCTAAGTCTCCCGGCATCCTCGGCTACAATATCTGCCCCCGCGGGTGGAACGGCAGCCTGCGGCTCAAGCGTGGCAGCCTCCCCGCCGAGGCCTCCTGCACCACCTAGAGCCCCACCCCCCGACCCCACCCCAGGAGCGCAGAGCCAGAAGAAGGCTCATCCAACCTGGGGAATCCAAATGGTCTTGCCTCTGGGCAGCCCCAGAGACGAGGGGTCAGCCGAGGAGAGCTCTGGGCTCGGGGATGGGTCGGGGACGCAAGCTTGAGTTCTAGCCCCTGCTCTCATTCCGTTGTTGTGTGACCCCGGGTAAGACCCTTCCTGGTTTGACCTTCCGCTGTCCCATCTGTTTAATGGTGGCTTTGGCCAAGGCAGTCCACGAATGTCAAAATTCCCCTTCCCATCAATACACACGCGCGCGCGCACACACACTCTCTTACACACTAGTTAGTGCCTTGAATGAGGCAGGACAGTGTGTATACTGACTCCTGGACTTGCCACCTTCAGAGTTCCATACTCCTCCTTCCCCTCCTGGCTCTGCTCTCTGGAGTCTGGCAAGTGGGGTGCGTTCAGAAGATCCTAGGCCTATGTCCCATGTCCAGGCACTGGCCTGACCATCCGGCTTCCTGGCACCAAGTCCCAGGCGGGAGCAGCTGTTTTCCATCCCTTCCCAGACAAGCTCTATTTTTGTCACAATGACCTTTAGAGAGGTCTCCGAGGCCAGCTCAAGGTGTCCCACTGTCCCCTCTGGAGAGAAGAGGCAGGAAAATTCTCTCCGGGTCCCTGTCACGCTACTTTTCTTCACTTCAGCCTGCCCGGGACATCTTATCTGCAGCCATAAGAGAGCTCTAAGGCAGTGATTTTCCTTAGGCCCAGGACTTGAGCCTACAGCTCATCTGTTCCTTCTGAGCCCATTCACGGCAGATTCTGGGCTCAAAGCTGAGCTGGGGAGAGAAGAGATACAGAGCTACCATGCGGCTTTACCTGATTGCCCTCAGTTTGGGGTTGCTTATTTGGAAAGAGAGAGACATAGAGTTACTTGTTATGGGAAATCTGAAAGTCATGGCCGGGATGCATAGGAGGAGATTCTAGCAGGGGACAGGATTGGCTCAGATGACTTCTGAGGGCTCTTCCAGTCTTGAAATGCATTCCATGGTATTAGGAAGTCAGGGGTATTAGGAAGTGGTGGTGGGCTAGGTGGGCTTGAATTCAGGGGCCAATGAGCTTGGGTAGGTGAACGGAATGTTAGGTTAGGGTCTACCTGTTATTTCTGCCCCCTTGGGAAATGTCCCCTTCTTCAGTGTCAGACCTCAACTCCAGTGTCCAGAAAAGTAGACATTGTCCTGCCCCATCCCTTCCCCAGTGCACCCTGACCTAGCTATTGCCTGGTGCCCAGTGACCTTGGGGAGCCTGGCTGCAGACCTTCAGTGGTTCCTTAAATCTTGGTGGCTCTGATTCCAGTCCCCAGGAGGGAGTCAGGGAGGAATATGGCTGAGTTCTGTAGTTTCCAGAGTTAGCTGGTAGAGCCTTCTAGAGGTTCAGAATATTAGCTTCGGGATCAACTGTGGGGCAGGAATTGGCTGAGGATCAAAAGCATGTAGGTGAAAGGATACTAGGATGTTGCATAAGGTGTGGGACAGTGTGGTTTTGGGACTTACCCACCCATCAGTGTGATGTTAGATCTAGAACCCCCAAGTGAGGCTGGAGAGAGTTAGGGTCAGTATGGAAGATTGGGTGGGGAAGGGGTGCTTTAGAATAAAGGAGAGATCTTAGAGGGCTCCTTGGGCCTCAGGAATGAGGACACCGCTCCTGATGGTGCGAAGATGAGAAGGTGTTCTTACTCAGTTAATGATGAGTGACTGCATTTCCCAAAGCCCCCACCTGCTGCAGGGTCCCTCATAGCACAGGAGACTGGGACTAAAGGCCCCTCCCAGAGAAGTGACACCATCAGGCCTCTGGCTGAGGCAGCAGCATAGAGGATCCACCTCTACCTGTGTTTCCCAAAGGGCTGGCAGGAGGCAGCCCCTGGCTGTCCCCCATTGTCACTGCTTTCTCCCCGTTCTCTCCTCTAACCTGCTAGAGCCCATGTCCTGCCTCTTGTAGAATTCAGCTCTGGCCCTCAATAAATGCTTCATGCATTCTTCTGCCTCCTGTGTCATTTTCAGTTGGTTTGATGCCCTTCTCCCCAAGTCCATGGGACTCTGGGTGGCAGGGAATATTTGAGACACATGGGATGGAAGTGTGGGAAGATCTCTCAAGCATCCATGAGAGATGGGAACAATGGACAACTTGAGGCTATAGAAGTCCCTGGCTAGGTGACCCTGAGTGAGTCCACTCCTCCAGGCCTCAGCTTTCCCATCCATGTGATGGGGACAGTTGTTCTAGATAATGTCTCAGGGTGGTATTGTCAGGGCCCTGACCACAGAGTACTGTTACCAGAGTGGGCAGGGCCAAGCTGGGTCAGGGGTCTGTGCTCTGGGGCTGTTTTCTCAAGGCAGGCAGGGGTGCCAGGGCAGGAAAGGAGTCACTGTGAGAGGGCCTCGTCTGAGCCGGGCAACCCCAGTGAGGTGAGGATTCAGACCAGGCAACCCCAGGAGGTGAAGACATCAGGTCTCCTGACGTCGCGTCCTTTGGCCAGAGAAGGGGATTGTGGTCCTGCTCCCAGGGGAAGCTGAGCTTGCCCTGGGAACACACCTCACTCTTTCTCTCTAGAAGCTTGGGCCCACCGAGGGCCAGGAAGGTAAGCTCAGGGCAGTGGACACCAGAATCCAGATTTCTGTCCTGAGAAGGTGTCAGAAATCCGCCCCAGCCCCAGCCTGCCAGCATGCACACACAGGTGCTCCCCCGCCTGCACCCAGCCATCCTCACTGGGCCCAGCCTTCCCCCGGAGTGCTGTGTGTGCCCTGGTCCCAATCTTTATCTTCGACTGGGGCCTCACCACAGCACAGTGTCCCACTGCCTGCTGGTGATCTCATCCCAGTCCCCCAGAACCTCAAGCCAAGTTCATCCCAAACTGACCTCGGTGTCTGCCCCCACTCCACCTACTCCTCCCCCTTCAGTCACCCAAGCATGAAACAGGGGAGCGGGACTCCCTTTCCTCACCTTCCATGTCCAGTTTCCTCACCAAGACCCCGGGGTTCTTCAAAATACCCGTTAACTCCCTCTCCTCTCCATCCCCTTGTCACTGCCCTGATGCAGCCACCCAATCTCTCACCTGGTGACAGTTGGTCCTCCTGCCTCCAGTCTGGCCCCCTCCAACCCATTTCCACCTGGCAGCAAAGATATCTTTGGAAAATGTCAATCCGATCACTCCATTTCCCTAGTTTAATCTCATCAGCAACTCTTTATCAACAGTTTCCTTTAAAAAGCCTACTAGGATCTGGCCCCTACCCCCACTGTCTGAGCTGATCTCTTAGAACTGCCTCCAGCTCTGGCTCTACTTGTCACCCCCCTACCATCTTCATAGGTGACATGTCCACTGCATGCCATGCCCCTTCTCTGCCCAGTGAACTCCCACTCCTCCTTCAAGGCTCAACTCCAGTGTGTCCTCCTCCGGGAAGCCTTCTCACCCCCCACCCCAGGCTGAGCTGGTAACTCCCTCCCCTGGGCTCTCCCAGAGCCTTTCCCAAAGCTTGTTTACCCATCTGAATCTGACCTGGCTGAGCTCCTTGAAGACAGAGCCCTGCCTTATTTATTTTCAGTCCTTAAAGAGAGGCTCAGGAAATGTGAGAAGGTAGAGGGAGGGAGGGAAAGTGGGAGGGAGGAAGGGAGAAAAGAGGCAGGCAGGAAGGAGACAGAAGAAGAAAGGCAGGAGAGAAGAAAGGAAGGAAGAAAAGAACAAGTCAAACAAAGATATTGGGGAACAATTGATCCATCCATCTGTCGATCGATCGATTCATTGATTTGACAAATACCTCCTGAGTTCTATCAGGCACCGTTCTTGGCACTAAGGATATAACAGTTAAGAGGAAGCTACTAGCAGCTGACCCTCAGCATTTCCAGGTGACTTTGGTGTGTGCATATGTGAGCATGTGTGTACATGTGGGTGCAAGCCCTCTGTCTGCAAAGGCCTGTTGCCAGGGCACCTGTCTTCCCTAGGGTCTGATGCTTTTAGCATCTGACTCCTGCTCCTATTGCAGCCCAAAATAAGGCAGTGACCCACGGCAAGGCAGGAATGATTCTCATCAGCTAAATGATTCTCATCAGAGCTGGCTACAGGGCACACCCTGCTCGCTGACGACTGACTGCTGACCGCTGACTGCCTACAGGGACACCACGCAACTCTCAGCTTCCCAACAGAGGTGTTAATCTTGAGGGTCTAAGATTCCCTCCTGCCCACTGTGGTCCCATCCTCTCAGGTACCAGCATCCTAGGGGAGCTTGGGGAACTCGGGGTAGTGGGCAGAGGAGATGAGGCAATCCCTAGAGGTCCGTCACCAGGAGAGGAAGGGCCCTGCAGTGGATCTGGGGACTGTGGGCCCCCCTGGAAGCCTAGATCCTGGTTTAGGAGGAGAGGAACTCTAAGCGCTAGTTAACTCTGCATTAAATGGCGAGGATGCGCCTAGGATTAAAGGTGGGGAATAGATAATGGCTTTGCTCAAGACTTTGGGATTTTTAGGCAGTAGAGGGAAGCAGCTTCTCTGTCTGTAAAATGAGAGACTCTTCCCAGTGTCCGTGAACTTCTATAAAGGGAGTGTTTATCAAGAAACAGATCTGTGGACTGTGGAATCCTAAGCAGTCACGATCGGGGCATTCTCAATCATCCCATAACCCTCGCCCCAAGTGCATGTAGACATGCTCATGTTTGCATGCTGTTTTAGCAGGCTTATGAATGCCCTAAAGCCTATCCATGGATCTCCATGATTTAGCCCAGCCCCCTCGTGTTACAGACCGGGGAACTGAGGTGCACAGCTGGAGAGCTACTTGTTCACAGTTACAGAGGAAGTCAGGGACACCCACTAGACTTCAGTTGCACAGCACAGTGCCCACTGGCCCAGGGCCCCGTGTGGGTGTTGGGGGTACAGGTGAAGGCAGATTGTTTTCTAAAGGAAGGAGTACAGAAAAACCTGGAAGCAAAGGAGAAGGGTACCGGGGTGCGTGGGCAGCCAAGGGACTCAAAGGCTCTGCCGCTTCTCCAGAGGGCAAGTTAAGGAACCTGGGCAAGTTAAGGGCTCTGGATCTCATTTTATTTGTAAATCTCTTCCAAGATTTCTGAAAAGTGCCATGAGATACAAATGGGAGGATGGAGGAGGAGAAGGAAGAGAAGGGATGGGGGAGAAGAGAACACCATGGAAGTTAGCCAGTAATGGGGAGATGGGGAGGAAGGGGGATGGTTCTCTCTGCTTGGTTGGACCAGACTGCTGACTGCCTACAGGGACATCATGCAGCTCTCAGCTTCCCAACAGGTGCCAGGGATGAGAGGGGCAACCAGCCTTGTGGACCCCAGTGTAACCCCAGCCTAGCCCATGCTCTCCCTCCGCTAACTTAAGCCTCCAACCTCTTTCAGCCTTGAAATAGGGCTCTCAAGTCTCAACATATGATAGTGTGCTTGAGACCCTTGCCTGCCCCACCCAGATGCCCCAGGCACCTACACTCCTTCTCATCAGGATGCCAGAGCTGGGAAAAGGCCCTAGAAGAGACAGTGCTGAAGAGACAGTGCTTCCTTAGCAACATGAAAACAGATTTGTGCAAACTTGGGCACCTCCCTCTTCCTCCCTTGGGCCTCAGTCTTCTCTGCACAATGACCTTGTAGGCCCTTCCAGTTCAGACATCCCTTGCTTGTGATTTTGGGGTGGGTTGAAGCTGTTCAGACTGGGGCAGGGTGAGCCAGGGACTTGAAGGAGGTCTGGGGAGAAATGGAGGCAGCCTGGTCCATTGATGGGGTCTCTCCTCCACAGGATGATCCCCAAGGAGCAGAAGGGGCCAGTGATGGCTGCCATGGGGGACCTCACTGAACCAGGTAAGGTGGATCTAGCCTCATGCTTTCCTCAGACTCCACCTTTTCCTCGCTCCCAGGCTGCGCTCACTCTGGCTTGCTGGCCCCAGGCCTGGGCAGACGAGTGTGAGCTCCTGACCAGCCTGAAGGAGTGCCTGTGGAACCTGCCGCCTAGGCTGGGAAGCTTTGTGAAGTATCGGGAGGGGTCTTGCCCCTCTGTCCACAGACCCAGGAGCTGAGACTAAAATGACCCTGGCTTCATCTAAGGCCCCATCTCAGCCGCAAATTAAGCTCTGGAGATTCCGGTCCCAGTTTCAGCCCTACCTGTGGCTGCAAGCTCTGCACACACTTGCCCTTGCCTGTTGCTCCTGTGGGTCTCACTGAGACCTCTGGATGGCCCAGGACAGCCGGGCCCCATGGCTAACAGGGGATTGGAGAGAGTAGAGCAGGGTGGGAAGAGAAGGCTGCCCATTTGGATACAAAACTTTGTACTTAAAAGATAACTCATCGAATGAGTGAATCATTTTTATCATTTCATTTATAAAGTTTAAATTCCTTTTTATCAATTTTATAAGACCTATTCAGGAACTCTTGATATAACTTTGGAATCTGTTTATTTGGTCTACTTTACAGCATTTCAGGTATTTTTTAAATTTATTTATTTTATTATTATTATTATTTGAGACAGTCTCACTCTGTCACCCAAGCTAGAGTGCAATGGCGGTCTTGGCTCACCGCAACCTCCCCCTTCAGGATTCAAGCTATTCTCCTGCCTCAGCCTCCCAAGTAGCTGGGACTATAGGTGTGCACCACCACGCCCAGCTAATTTTTGTATTTTTAGTAGCAATGGGATTTCACTATGTTGGCCAGGCTGGTCTTGAACTCCTGACCTCGTGATCCACCCACGTTGGACTCCCAAAGTGCTGGATTACAGGTGTGAGCCACTGCACCCGGCTGCATTTCAGGAATTTTAAAAGATTAATTCAGGGGGTGGTAACAGTGGCTGATGTCTGTAATCCCAGCACTTTGGGAAGCTGAGGTGGAAGGACTGCTTGAGCCCAGGAGATTGGGACCAGCCTGGGCAACATGGTGAGACTCCATCTCTACCAAAAAAAAAAAAAAAAATTAGCAAGGTATGGTGGCACATGCATGTAGCCCCAGCTACTCAGGAGGCTGAAGCAGGAGGATTGTTTGAGGCTAGGATTTGGGGGCTTATAGTGAGCTATGGTCCAGCCTGGGCAAATTTCAACTAAGTCAGAGCTCTCGAGCTTTAGTGTGAATCATAGTGACTTGATATTGGTTCAGCATACAGACTCCCAGCATCTACTCCCAGGGATTCCATCGCAGGGGACCTAAAGTAGCCCTGGTACATTTGCCTTCTGTGTTCTAAGGAGTCAATCCTATTTTCTGACTTTATGCGTGGCATCCTTTTCACCTATTTTGTGTGTTCTTGCCTCCTTTTGTTGATATCCAGTTTCTTCCCCCGCCCTGATTTTGTAGCTAAAATATGCACATTCTATGAGTATTGACACTCTAACTAGAAGGGTCAGGCAATACATCCTCTTTTTTCTTGGGGAGTTAATTAATTACAGGCCCCCAAATACGGAGACACATCATTCATGCAAGACTTGAAATATATAACTTGTTGATTATTGGAAAGGTCCTAACTAAAGACAATTTTGAAACAAAAGTAGGAAGAAAAAATAAATCTCATAATCTTACAACCTAAAGACAGCCACTGTAATGTAAAAACCATAAAAATGTTTACCATCATGGCATGCTTACTATGCGGCAGATACTTTGCTAAGAGAAAAGTATTCTTTACGCTTTGTGTCATTTCACCTCCACAACAATTCGGTAAGTTTGATATTATTCTCATTTTGGAAATGAAAATATTGAGGGTCAGAGGAGCCGGTGGTCACATCTGGTAGGTGGCAGAGCTGCAATTTGACTCCAGGTGTCTGTCTCCAGAGCTCTTTCTTTAATATATTATTGTTGCTGTTGTTGTTATAATTTTGAGACAGAGTCTCACTCTATCTCCCAGGCTGGAGTGGCCCACTCTCGATTCACTGCAACCTCCACTTCCTGGGTTCAAGCGATTCTCTTGCCTCAGCCTCCTGAGTAGTTGGAATTATAGGCGCCCACCACCATGCCCAGCTAATTTTTGTATTTTTAGTAGAGATGGGGTTTCATCATGTTGGCCAGGCTGGTCTTGAACACCTGACCTCGTGATCCACCCACCTCGGCCTCCCAAAGTGCAAGAATTACAGGCGTGAGCCACTGCGCCTGGCCCCTGTTTCTTTATTATATGGTTACATGGTAATATAATACATAATAATCACTTAAAAAATTCATTTGCCATTGACTTGGCGTACATTAAAAAAAAAAATTTCTAATCAGACAAAACAGACATGAATGGCTTTGAAAGTGAAAGTTGGTCATAATGGAACTATCTGGAGATAACCACTGTTAGCATATTTATGTAAATTCTTCTTCTGTTCATATATGAATGTCTTTATATAAACATACATACACATGGGCTAAATACTATATGCTGTGTTTTTTGGCTTTTTTTTTTTTTCATGTAGCAGCATTTCATCCTAGTATGATTTCTCTCATGCCTTCATTCCCCGTGCTTGCCAGCATTCTGCTGTTTGGACACGTTATGTGTATTTCATCAATGCCTAACGGTGGTCATGGGGCTTGTCTCAGGTGAGATCCTGCGGGGCAGAACCAGAGGAGCCTTCTGCAAGTGACTTATTGAGAGAGTGCTCTCGGAAGGAAAGGAGGAATGCAGCCTAGGGTGGGGTATTGCTGAGCAAGGATGTGGGCTCAGTGACTGTCCACATTCAGTGTGATCCTGTGGGGAGCTCTCGAGCATGAATTTCTACACAGACTTCATCCCACCTGATGAATGGATGCTGCGGCAGCGTCCATTCCACTGGCAGTTCTCTGTAGAAGGTGGTGGTGTGAACTATTAACTGCTAATAAAGGGGCATCTGGGCAGCATCCACCACAAGACTGGGTCCCAGTTTTCACAACTGTAAACCTCACTGCAATAAACATTCTTGTACATATATCTTTAGACATATTTATTCAACTTTTTCCCTGAGAATAAATTCCTAGAAATAGAATTACTTGGTCAGATAGGTTTTATCTTTTTTTATTTTTTTAATAGAGACAGCATCTTGCTATATTGCCTAGGCTGGTTTAGAACTCCTCCACCCAAGCAATCCACCCACCTTGGCCTCCACAAGTGCTGGGATTATAGTTGTGAGTCACTATGGCTGCCCATTTTTATTTTTATTTTAATATTGAGCTTGGCTGGGCACCGTGGCTCACATCTGTAATCCCAGCACTTTGGGAGGCCAAGGTGGGCAGATCACTTGAGGTCGGGAGTTCCAGACCAGCCTGGCCAACATGGTGGAACCCTGTCTCTACTAAAAATACAAAAATTAGCTGGGCTTGGTGGTGTGTGCTTGTAGTCCCAGTTACCTGGGAGGCTGAGGCAGGAGGATCACTTGAACCTGGGAGGCAGAGGTTGCGGTGAGCCAAGATGGTGCCATTGCACTCCTCCTGGGCAATAAGAAAGAAACTCCATCTCAAATATATATATGTATATTTAGTTCAGCTCATCTGTATAGTATTTGAGAATATGATGCTGAGGGCAGTTTATTATGTATTTAGTTATAACTATTCTTTCATATTTTTAAGTAGGCAGTACACTGTCTTGTTAAAAACAGTAACAACAAAACAGTGTAAACAATTTCCAGCCCTCCTCCTTTATATGTCCCATGGTCACTGCTATGGGGGCAGGTCTCCCTTTGCTAAGGTGACATGTCTCCTTGGCATGTCTCCTTGCAGATTTTTCAGTGCATGCACAAACACATACCTATTCTTTAATATGTAAATGGAAGCCAGGGGAAGTGGCTCATACCTGTAATCCCAACACTTTGGGAGGTCGAGACGGGCAGATCACTTGAGGTCAGAAGTTCAAGACCAGCCTGTGCAACATGATGAAATCCCATCTCTACTAAAAATACAAAAATTAGCCAGGCATGGTGGCCCATGCCTGTAATCCCAGTTACTTGGGAAACTGAGGCAGGAGAATCACTTGAACCCAGGAGGCAGAGGTTGCAGTGAACTGAGATCACACACTGCACTCCAGCCAGGGCAACAGAGCAAGACTCTGTCTCTTTCTCGCTCCAAATATATATATATATATATCATATATATATCATATATATCTTATATAATATATATAAGTATAATGTAAATGGAATTTTAGAATATGTATTCTTCTGAATCTTACTTTCCCCTCCAATTATTTATACTGGATTTTTTTTTCTTCTTTTTCTTTTTGCTTTTTGAGACAGAGTCTCTGTTGCCCATGCTGGAGTGCAGTGGCACAATCTTGGCTCACTGCAACCTCCACCTCTGGCTTTAAGCGATTCTTGTGCCTCAGCCTCCCAAGTAGCTGAATTGCAGGCATGTGCCACTATGCCCAGCTAATTTTTGTGTTTTTAGTAGAGACAGGGTTTCGCCACGTTGGCCAGGTTAGTCTTGAACTCCTGACCACAAGTGATCTGCCCACCTTTGTCTCCCAAAGTGCTGGATTACAGGTATAAGCCACTGCACCTGGCCTATAGTGGATTTCTTTCTGTTCTTAGCACGTATAAAGTTTGCTTTCTGTATTTGTTGAAAGAATGAAAAAAATCAGTGTCCATTGACTGGCATGAATCACAGCACCCGAATGACCCGCAATGCTGCCCAGTGGCCATGTCTATCTCCCTGGTTCATTCACTCTCCCATGCTACTCTCTTCATGACTTTGGCAACCCCTCTCCTCAAACCTCCAATACCTCCTTGCACAACTTCGTTCTCAGCTAAAGACCTTGCTTCTTATTCTACTGAGAAACAAAGTAACCAGGAGAGGGCATCTACAAGCATCCTCTGCCACAGCTGACTTGCTTGCGTCTGTGTCCGTGTTTGTGGTGGTGGATGGACTCGCCTCACACCTGCCTGGTGCCTGCGCCTCTGGTTGGGCTCTGGACACCCAGCTCTCCTATCACTCCTGCTCAAGGACGTTCCTTCAGCAATTCTCAACTCTCTCTATTGCATTGTCAAATGTTCCCATCAGTTAACGCACATGCTGTAATTTCTTCATCTTTACAAACAGACAAACCCCTCTTGATCCCATTGCTGTCTATAGCCAGAATCCTTTAGAGCTCAACTCCTCCAAGCAGTTGTCTGCATTTTTCTTACCAATCCTCTCTTTCTCTCTGACATTTTATTAGTCAATTTACACACACACACACGCACACACACACACACACACACACACAGAGTACATGGTCCCTCCCTCATTCCTAAATTTCAAAGCAAATACCAAAAAGCACGTCATTTTGCCCCGCAAATTCTTCAGAATGCATGAAAATAATAAAAGGGCGTTTCCTTACATGCCACAAAGATATTAGCACACTGAACAAAATTAGCACTAATGATTTAATACCAGTTAACAAGCAGTCTGTACTCAACCTTCTTGAGTTTCCTAGTTTGTTTTCATCGGGATCCAAACACGGGCCACGGTTTTTATTTGGTTACTATGGCTCCTAAATCTCCTTTAATCTAAAACAACCCCTTTGCCCCCTTTTTTCCATGTCACTCACTTGTTTGAAAAACCAGGCCAGTTGTCCTGTAGAATATGCTGCGTCCTGGATTTGGCTTATTGCTTCCTCGTGGTGTGGTTAAACTTGTTCCTCTGTCCATTTTCTCTTGAACCGTCTCCAGTCAGGCTTTTACACCCAAACACTCCGTAGAAACTGCTTTAGTGAAGATTACCAATGACCTTGTGTTACTAAACATAATAATTTTCAGCCGTCATCTTTCTTGACACATCAGCAAGCCTGTGACTCTGTTAGTCTCTCTCTATCGTACCTGAAACGCTTTCATCATTTGTTTCCAGGACGCCATCCTCTTTGGTTTCCTCCGACCCTGTGGGTTGCTTCTGCCCAGGCTCCTGGCTTGGCTCCTCTTCACTGCCTTATTGTCAATGTTGGAGGCTCCAGGCTCCATCTCTGATCGTCTTTATCTATTCTCATTTGTTTGTGATCTCATTCAGCCTCTCAGCTTAACATGCCATTTATGGCGCTGGAATATGAACGTATGTGCATCCGATTTTAGAGATGACCCAGGCAGGCCGTGCTGCCCACACGGGGCTCTTGCCTGACAAGGTCCGCACCATTCTGTCCTCGCTGTCCTGCAAAAGGCTTCCTTTGTTGGCCAAACGTGAAAGTTTGGATTTTGCTGGTTGGAAAAGCACAAAGGATAGGGATGGGTCCCAAACGAGTGAGAACAGTCATCACCCTGAAAATCCTCTAAATGCTATGAAGACTAGTTCGCACGATGAGAAAAGAAATAAATGTCATGTTCTTCATTGAAAAAGAACCATAACAAATACAGTAAAAGTTCACGGTGCCCACGTTTTCACCTCCAGGTCGGTTTTCTCCGGTGAACCCGATTCCCACATCTGTCTCCCTCCTCAGCACCGCCGCTTAGATGCCTGCAAGTCTCCTCAAACTTAATGTGCCCAGTTTTGGAGACAATTAGCACAGTTTGCATAGGGACTAGATATTAGGTCCGTGGAAAGGTGGAGATCTTTAGGTGATAAAAACAAGTTACAGAACATGTGTGCCATGATTTTATTTTGGTTAAAACCTCATATGAATATAGTCATTGAAAAAGACATGAAAGATCATACACTAAGATGTTAAGAGTGACAATCTCTGGTTAATAGATAATGGTATTTTTCTCTTTTTTGTCTGATATGTGTATTTTCTAACCTTCAGTGCTTCTATATGATTTTTTTTTTTTTTTTTGAGACAGTCTTACTTTGTTGCCTAGGCTGGAGTGCAGCAGTGCAATCTCAGCTCACTGCAACCTCCACCTCCTGGGTTCAAGTGATTCTCCTGCCTCAGCCTCTGGAGTGGCTGGGATTACAGGCATGTACCACCGCACCTAGCTAATTTTTCTATTTTTAGTTGAGACGGGGTTTGGCCATGTTGACCAGGCTGGTCTTGTACCTCTGACCTCAGGTGATCGCCCGCCTTGACCTCCCAAAGTGCTAGGATTACAGGCATGAGCCACCATGCCCGGCCCATACATGCTTTTTTTTTTTTTTTTTTTTTTTTTGAGACGGAGTTCCGCTCTTGTTACCCAGGCTGGAGCATAATGGCGCGATCTCGGCTCACCACAACCTCCGCCTCCTGGGTTCAGGCAATTCTCCTGTCTCAGCCTCCTGAATAGCTGGGATTACAGGCACGCGCCACCATGCCCAGCTAATTTTTTGTATTTTTGGTAGAGATGGGGTTTCACCTTGTTGACCGGGATGGTCTCGATCTCTTGACCTTGTGATCCACCTGCCTCGGCCTCCCAAAGTGCTGGGATTACAGGCTTGAGCCACCGCGCCCAGCTACATGCTTTTTTATAATAATAAAAGACTATTTTAAAGTTAAAAGGACACGTGTCTAAAGCTGAATCTTCTCCTCCCTTTGCCTTCCCCATCTCAGTGAGCTGCTGCTCCATCCTTCCCCAGGCTCAGGCCAGAAACCTCATGGTCGTCCTCAACTCCTCTCTCATTGTCCATACCCATGGCTTACCTTTAAAAATATCAATTTTTAGAATCTGGGCCAGGTGTGGTGGCTCCCGCCTATAACCCCAGCACTTTGGGAGGCTGAGGCAGGCAGATCATGAAGTCAAGAGATTGAGAACATTCTGGCCAACATGGTGAAAACCCATCTCCATTAAAAATACAAAAATTAGTTGGGTGTGATGGCACGCACCTGTAGTCCCAGCTACTCAGGAGGCTGAGGCAGGAGAATTGCTTGAAGCCGGGAGGCAGAGGTTGCAGTGAGCCGAGATCGCACCACTGCCCTCCAGCCTGGGCAACAGACCAAGACTCCCAGAAAAAATCTAGAATCTGACCATTTCTCACTACCTCCACTATTATGGGCAAAGACCTGCACAGGGAGTTCGTGCGATAAACACAAAATGGCCAAAGAACTTCTGAAACAGTGCTAAACTTCACTGAGCAACAAACACATGAAAATTAAACTCTGAGGTGTCATTTTTGCCCATCAGGTGGGCAAAGATTCCGAAGAATCATGACACCTGGTGTGAGTGTCGGCAAGCTTGGGGAGAAACAGGCATTCTTACACACAACATGCCATGCTGAGGAGGTGCCTTGGGAGGCCAGGCCTGGAGCACTGGGGGATGGGGTGGTGAGAGCCCACTCTGGCCTTTCCTGGCAGTCCCTACACTGGACCTGGGCAAGAAGCTGAGCGTGCCCCAGGACCTGATGATGGAGGAGCTGTCACTACGCAACAACAGAGGGTCCCTCCTCTTCCAGAAGAGGCAGCGCCGTGTGCAGAAGTTCACTTTTGAGTTAGCGGAAAGTCAGCGGGCGGTGAGTAAGCCACCATTGTGCTCTCGGGGAAACTGAGGCCCATAGAGAGCCAGTGGTTAACCTAAAGCCAAATGGTAAGCCAGGCAGAGGACTGTGATGTACCCATCAGATTAAGGCCCTGCCTTTCTGTGTGATCCTTGAAAAGTGTTATCTTTTTTTGTTTTTTTGAGACAGAGTTTCGCTCTTGTCTAGGCTAGAGTGTAATGGTGTGATCTTGGCTCACCACCACCTCTGCCTCCCCGGTTCAGCCGATTCTCCTGCATCAGCTTCCCAAGTAGCTGGGATTACAGGCATGCACCACCACGCCTGGCTAATTTTGTACTTTTAGTGGAGACAGGGTTTCACCAGGTTGATTACGCTGGTCCCTATCTCCTGACCCCAGATGATCCACCTGCCTCGGCCTCCCAGAGTATTGGGATTACAGGCATGAGCCACCTCGCCTGGCTGAAAAGTGTTGTTTTTAGGCATGTCTCCCTGGACATAGAACAAAGTGGATTGGGGGGATGAGGATAAGACTTGAAGTGAGGCCGGGCGCGGTGGCTCAAGCCTGTAATCCCAGCACTTTGGGAGGCCAAGGCGGGTGGATCACGAGGTCGAGAGATCGAGACCATCCTGGTCAACATGGTGAAACCCCGTCTCTACTAAAAATACAAAACATTAGCCGGGCATGGTGGCACGTGCCTGTAATCCCAGCTACTCAGGAGGCTGAGGCAGGAGAATTGCTTGAACCCAGGAGGCGGAGGTTGCGGTGAGCCGAGATCGTGCCATTGCACTCCAGCCTGGGTAACAAGAGCGAAACTCCGTCTCAAAAAAAAAAAAAAAAAAAAAAAAGTGAAGACAGGCATGCTGGCTCCTACGACAACAAATGCTAAGACAGGCGTGCACTCGAGGCTGAATTTGCAGCAGTCAGGATCTAGTTCAGTCTTGGGCCTCATCTGAGACGGAAAATGTAGAATACTCTTTTTTCTTCTTCCCACTGGAGGAAGGAGAAGAAAGGCAGCAGGCAGTTCGAGATACTTCTAAGGAAGCCAGGGCTATTCCATCCACTCGTCACTTAATTTCTGGCCTAGACAGGAGGCAACTGAGAGGGAGTGATGTGGCAGAAAAATGAAGATGGCAAAACGCCCGCCTTTGTATGTGCCTAAGAAGGTGCTAGCTAAGCACTTTGCAGGCACCTCAAAATGCTCATAGACCCCTGTGAGGCAGATCTTCATCACCATCATCCTAATTCTATAGAGATGGACATTGAGGCTCAGGGAAATTAAGTATCTTGCTCAGAGTCAGCATTACAATGGCAATTAACATATACCGGGCATTTCTCTTAACATATATCGAGTATTTTTCGGTCCCAGGCACTGGGCTTAGCGCTGTAAACTAGTAACTCATCCTTGTTCCCTGATGATGGGCGTTAGGATTCTTGCCTCCCCCTCCTTTTGTTTTTTGGTGGAGGGAGAACCTTCCCTGGTCCCCTGCCCCGCTGAGCCTCTCTCCGGTTTATTCCACCCCCTCGCTCTCAGATGCTGGCCGGAAGCGCCAGGAGGAAGGTGACTGGAACAGCGGAGCCGGGGACGGTGAGCATGGAGGGGAACTCCCTGGAAGGGAAGCTGAGGGAAGGGGCGGGTGGCTGGGGGCGGGAGGCCGTCGGTGGCCTCTGAGAGCACGCCTCTGTGCCCAGGTTGCCAATGCCAATGGTCCCGAGGGGCAGAACTACCGCTCGGAGCTCCACATCTTCCCGGCCTCACCCGGGGCCTCACTCGCGGGTCCCGAAGACGCCCACCCTGCAGCCGCCCCTGCGGGGTGGGTCCCCAGCCCCAGCGCCCTGGCGCCAGGTGAGTGTCCTCCTCGGGTCCCCGGGACCAGGGCTGGGACGCCTGGAGCGTGGGTGTGCTCCCCATGGGGCAGGAGGAGCACTCAGAGAGCTAATCCGCCCCCTTCCCCAACACACACGCGCACGCGCGCACTCCATTCTCCAGACCACGCGCCGGAGGAGCGCAGTGCCGAGCCCAGGTCGGTCACGCAGCGACTCGGCCAAGGCCAAGACTGCAGCCCGCGCCGCGAACTCGCGGCTTCCTCACTGAAGTCCAACGCGTTTCCTGGGATGGGGAAGGGTCTCCGATGTTGGAGCAACTGTGTCATCCCATCCCTCCCCTAACTCCGACCGTCCCTCCCCCAGCCGCGTCCGCGGGATGGAGGTGGGGACTGAGGTGGAAGAACCGAGACGCCCCATCCCCTCGCCCCTAGGCTATGCGGCGCCGCTGAAGGGGGTCCCGCCGGAGAAGTTCAACCACACCGCCATCCCCAAGGGCTACCGCTGCCCCTGGCAGGAGTTCGTCAGCTACCAGGACTACCAGGGCGATGGCCGAGGTCACACCCCTAGCCCCAACGACTACCGAAATTTCAACAAGTAAGCCCGGGGACGAACCGGGAGGGGCGGGGAGCCAGTCGCAGTCACAGAGGGAACCTGCGTTTCCTGAGCACTTCCTGCAGGCCAGGCTCTGTCCCCAGCGCTTGCTTTCTTTTTTTTCTTTTTTGAGACGGAGTTTCGCTCTTGTTGCCCAGGCTGGAGTGCAATGGCACGATCTCGGCTCACCGCAACCTCCGCCTCCTGGGTTCAGGCAATTCTCCTGCCTCAGCCTCCTGAGTAGCTGGGATTACAGGCACGCGCCACCATGCCCAGCTAATTTTTTGTATTTTTAGTAGAGACGGGGTTTCACCATGTTGACCAGGATGGTCTCGATCTCTTGACCTCGTGATCCACCCACCTCGGCCTCCCACAGTGCTGGGATTACAGGTGTGAGCCACCGCTTTCTAATTCATTGACTGAGCTCTGGCTGGAACAGCGCCTCCGCACCTGGTGGGTGCTCGGTACACGTGGGAGGAATGCAGAGTGAAGGTGCCGCACATTTTGCCGGGTCTTCTCCAGGACGTGGTGGAGAGGTGCTATGAGTTTTCCCACTCTGCAGATGAAGAGGCTGCGGCTCGGGAATAGGAACAACCCGGCCAAAGCCACAAAACAAGGGAGCGCCGGCAGGACTGGGGTTCGGGTCTGGGTTTGCCTGACTTCAGAGCCCGGTGTCTTGTTCTCCATGACTGCTGTGTGCCACTTCTTTGGTGAACATCTAGGTTTGTGTCCCTCCCTGAGGGACCCCCAGACTTCAGCAGTTTGAGGCCAGCCCAGCTTTTCCTTTCACTAATGTCCTAGAAGAGACCAACAAGGTGGCTTTGAAGCTGGCCCAAAGTGGAGAGTGGCGGTGAAACATTGGACGCCAGAGGGAGGCCCACACGGCAGTGGCCCATACTGGTTTAGAGCATGAGACCTCCACGTGGACTTAAATGCAGACCCCAGGCCTGCCCGTGGGACCTTGGGCAAGTGACTTAACCTCTCTGAGCCTCCATTTCCCCGCCTGTAAAATGAGGGGTTTGCAGCACCTACTTCATAAGGTTGCTATGAGGATGACACGAGAAGCCATAGGTAAAGTTTCTGGCAAGTAAGAAACTTAGAACAAACAGTAGCTATTACGATTATTACTTACAGCTGAGATGAGGTTTGGACAGGGGAGAGCTTGAAAGAGATACATTTAGCATTCTGCATCGGGGGCCTGAAAACAAACCATAGAAATCAAGACAGGAGCTTGGCATTGGAGGAAGCCTTGAGCCGAGGATGCATTTCAGCTGCACTGGCCTCCTTGCTCTGATGCTATTTCTGAATATGCTCCTCTGGTTTGGGCTGCATTCAGTGAGGAAAAGGGGAGTCCACAGAGAGGACACCACAGTCCAGCTCTTCTGGCATTTGCAGACCACACATGGAGACTGTGTCTGTCTAAGACAGATGGGTGGGCGCGGGAGCCTGGCTAGGCCTGGAAAACCAGACCTTGTGAGGAAGGGCTGAAGAAACTGGGGGTGATCCGCCTTGAGAAGAGACAGCTCCAGAGGGATCTGACTGCCCTCAAATATCTGAATAGCCAGAGAGGGTCCTGATGGGAAGAACTGGGCCTGGCAGGGGCTGTGTGAGTCACAAGCCATCAGCAGATACTCTGGAGTTCCCCACCAGGCAGGGCTGCCCGCAGAGCCTGCTAGGCCCGATTCTCCTCCCGGGCCCTCAGACCCTGCCTGCCCAGCCCTTTGAAACCTTCAGCAGACATTCAGGCCCGGCAGGCAGCTTCCAGGCTGGGCCACTCCGGTTGCATCTCCCCCTGATCTCATGCCTCAAGTATGACAGCGAGGCACGTTCCCAGCAGCAGAAAGAGCCTTAGGGAGCTCTGTACCCAGATCTCTTCTGAGGGAGAAAGAGCAACTGAGGCATGGAGAAGAGAAACAGCAGTTTCGGTGGCCAAGATGGGCTCGGCATCCAGGGCCCTGGGCTCCCGGTCAAGGGCCTGACTGTAAGGCTTGCATGGTTTGGACACCACCCAGCCTGTTCCTCCGAGGCCTGGCTGTTGCCACCAAAACTGGGGTGGTCCAGGCAGAAATGCCTTCCTGGCTGAGACCCAGGCGCTGGCCCGAGGTTTGTCTTTCCACCCCAGAGGCAAGCACTCTCCTCTTCCCACTGGTCCCAGACTGCTGGAAAAACAATACGAGCAATGATTTTTATTTTTCTTAAAATTAACTAACAGGATTAAGGCCAAATGCAGTGGCTCACGCCTGTTGGGAGGCTGAGGTGGGTGGATTACTTGAGGTCAGGAGTTCAAGACCAGCCAGGCCAACATGACAAAACCCCGTCTCTACTCAAAATACAAAAATTAGCGGAGCTTGCTGGCGCATGCCTGTAATCCCAGCTACTCAGGAGGCTGAGGTGGGAGAATCGCTTGAACCCAGGCGGCGGAGGTTGCAGTGAGCTGAGATTGTTCCGTTACACTCTAGCCTGGGTGACAGAGCGAGACTGTGTCTCAAAACAAAACAAAACACAAACATTATTATTAAAATCACATACATAAAGTCTCTTTTAAAACATGTTAGGCAAATAAGTGTAGAGCCCCTTTGCTCACTGTCCTCCAAACACAGTTGCCTTCCCAAAGGTGACACAGTTGTCAGGCTGGCCTGTATGGGCTCAGAACATTTTGTGTGGGCAGCTGTATTCCTGTAGGGGGAATGGCATGTGTGTGTGTGTGTGTGTGTGTGTGTGTGTGTTTTAATACTTTGTGTTTCACTTTGTTAACTTGCAATTTTTTTACTCAATAGTATGCTTTCAAAATCTACCATACTAATATGTAAAGCTCTAGGTCCTTCCTTTTAAGCTGCTATGTAGTGTTCTCTCTCTCTCTTTCTTTCTATCCCGCCTTCCTTCCGTTTCTTCCTGGCACAGTTTCACTCTAGTCGCTCAGGATGGAGTGCAATGGTCTATTCTCGGCTCACTACAACCTCAGCCTCTTAAGTTCAAGTGATTCTCCTGCCTCAGCCTCCCAAGTAGCTTGGATTACAGGCGCCCACCACCACATCCAGCTAATTTTTGTATTTTTAGTAGAGACAGGGTTTCACCATGTTGGCCAGGTTAGTCTCAAACTCCTGACCTCAGGTGATCTGCCTACCTCAGCCTCCCAAAATATTGGGATTACAGGCATGAGCCACTGTGCCCAGGCTGCTGTATAGTTTTCTATCGTGTGAACATGCTGTATCTGTCTTGCCCATTTCTCTGCTGGTGAACATATGGGTTGTTTCTGCTCTGTCAATAATGTGCTGCTCAGGTCTGCCTCCTAGTGTCTGCATGTCTGTGCTTCCCTAAGCCATGTGCTCCGAGGTGGAGATGTGGGGTGACAGAGTTCACACATTTCGAGTTAGAAAGATCCTGCCAGATTGTCTTCTGCGGTAGCAGCACTGGCTTACTCTCTAACAAGCAGCACGTGTGAAACTTTGCTCCCCGCCACCTCACCAGCTTTGCTCTGTTATCAGATTATTTCACTATGTCAGTCTCCTGGAGGAGACATGGCGTGGCTGTGGTAATTTGCATTTTCCCCCTGATTTTCAGTACCCTTCTCTCTCTACTTTTGGGTCTTTTGTCCCAAGCAAAGCTTACCGAAGGGGAGCTTAGTCTTGCCTGGGACAAATCAATTCTCACCCCATCAGCTTCATTTCTATTGCTGAGCAACGAGCCACCCAAGTAGGTGCAAACTTGGAAAGGGGCGAAGTTGGAAAAACCTCTTAAGATGTACAGACTCTTGCTGTATAGAAGGGAGAACTGAGGCTCAGAGCGAGGCAGGGAAGGGTCCATACACGGTGACCCACATGTCAGTGTCCTGCTGTTCCTGTCCCACACAGCCCACCTCTTCTGCTGCTCTCTTTCTCCAGGACCCCGGTGCCATTTGGAGGACCCTTCTTGGGGGGCACTTTTCCCAGGCCAGGCACCCCCTTCATCCCGGAGCCCCTCAGTGGCTTGGAACTCCTCCGCCTCAGACCCAGTTTCAACAGAGTGGCCCAGGGCTGGGTCCGTAACCTCCCAGAGTCCGAGGAGCTGTAGCCCCAGCCTGAATCTTCAATTCCCCAGTCTTGGGGGCCTGGTAACATCCGGAGCCAAGACTTGTGGACAGCATTTTACAATTTAAGAAGGGCCTTCACACACAAAACCTTGCTGCAAATGGCCTCAGAGATCACAAAGTTCAGTAATCCCCAAACATGGGTGTGCTTCAAAATTACCTGGGGTTGTTCCAAATACAGATGGCTGAACGGTCACAGACTTGCAGCATCAGAGTCTCCTGAATCAAAGAATCTGTATTATTAATAGCAACCAGGGCCAGGCACAGTGGCTCATACCTGTAATCCCAGCACTTTGGGAGGCCAAGGCACAAAGATCACAAGGTCAGAAGTTTGAGACCAGCTTGACCAACATGGTGGAACCCTGTCTCTACTGAAAATACACAAATTAGCCGGGCATGGTGGTGCATGCCTGTAACCCCAGCTACTGGGGAGGCTGAGACAGGAGAACTGCCTGAACCCAGGAGGCAGAGGTTGCAGTGAGCTGAGATCGCGCCACTGCACTCCAGCCTGGGCAACAGAGCGAGACTCCATCTGAAAAAAGAAAAAATAGCAACCAGTCCTCCAGATGATTCCAGCATACCTTATCAATGGTTTGTGTCATTTGGAATTCACATCCACACCTCTGCTCTCCCCTGCTCCCACAGTGTACACTTCCCCGGTGACAGGGTACTCCCTGGCAGCCCATCTTCCTGTGAATAACTCAAATAATTAGAAAATGTTCCTTTTACAGAGATGCAGTTGGTCTTCATCTATTCATGCTCTAAACAATTCCTAAGCACTGACTGTGTGCTAGACACTGTGCCAGGCCCAGTCCTCGAGGAGGAAAAGACAGTAGCGCAGACAGAAGTACAGAGCACGAAATCATCTTCATTTCCTCTAAAGCATGCTTACTGACAATTGCGGAACCAAGTGTTGGGCAGAGGAAGGAGTCCCTAACCCTGGGTGTGGGGTGGGATTCCAGAAGCTTCCTGGAGGAAATGAGTGGGACCTTGGAGGAGGAGTGAGAGTCCATGAAAAGAAGGGGTGTGAGGGGGAGGGTATTCCTGGGAAGTGGACCAGCATGTCCAAAAATGTGGAACTGAGCATGGGCGCAGGGTGTTCTGCAGAAGGAATAAGGCTGTGCTCGAGGCGCGGGTGAGGGTAGCGTGGGGCAGGCTTTACTAAGGAAATGGGGAAGGTTTTGGGGATGGCTCTTTTGCAGATTGGAGAAGGGTAATGCCAGAAGCCAGGAAGCCTGCAAGGGACGAGGCCACGGGAATGGAAAGAAAGGGCCGCTAGTAGGTTCTCTACATATCTTATTTCTATTTTTTTTTTTTTTTTTTTTTTTTTTTTTGAGACGGAGTTTCGCTCTCGTTACCCAGGCTGGAGTGCAATGGCGCGATCTCGGCTCACCGCAACCTCCGCCTCCTGGGTTCAGGCAATTCTCCTGCCTCAGCCTCCTGAGTAGCTGGGATTACAGGCACGTGCCACCATGCCCAGCTATTTTTTTGTATTTTTAGTAGAGACGGGGTTTCACCATGTTGACCAGGATGGTCTCGATCTCTTGACCTCGTGATCCACCCGCCTCGGCCTCCCAAAGTGCTGGGATTATAGGCTTGAGCCACCGTGCCCGGCCCATATCTTATTTCTAATCCTCAGCACAACCCTGAGAGAAAGATGTTGTTGTCCCCTTTTTACAGATGTGGATATTTAGGCTCAAATGGAGGAAGGAAGTGACTTGTCCAGGGGCAGAGACCAAATGGGAATCTGTCTGATTCCAGTGGATGTCTCTTTGCACTGCACTGGGTGGTCAGTGCCCACTCGCTCTGAAATCATCTGATTGTTGTGCCCTGCCTTGGAGTTTAGAAGCTGAGTGCAGGCTTGGGAGTCAGACTGGATGGGATGGGTTCTAACTGCCACGGCTGGCCGGGTGAACTGGAGCAAGTCTTTTCACATCTCCGATCCTCCGTTTCTCCATCTGTAAGATGAGGACAAGTATAAAAGCTCCTTTGTGGGTTTGTTGTGAACACAGTGCAGGGTGCATTTATAATAAGGGCACAGTCAATGGTAGGTTTCATGCAACTGCTGTTCCAGGCTGGAAACGTTGTTCTTGCACTGGAGGTAGCATGAGAAGCTGGCTGCTCAAGATGTCACTGAGGGGTCAGTAAAGCTGAAGCCAGAAGGAGAGCCTCTCGTTGCTGTAGGGATCTCCCTGTCTCTGTCTCTAGAGGCGATGGGCAAGGTCAGGAGTCCAGCCCATTCCCAGGCTGTATGGGAAAGTGATTACATTTTCCTTTTGCTCTGGAATTTCACTCCCCTCTGGGTCCCAAGGGCCCAATGACCTGACTTTTAGAATTGTTTGCAATTGGTGTTTTCTCTTGAGTTTGGGGGCTGCCATTTAAAGCCAGGTTTTCATGAGGTGAAAGCCAACCATTCAAGGGTCTGAAAAGTAGAAAGAAGGACTCCGATTGCCGTGGGCTGGTTCCGCTGTGCTCTGGAAGGTAACTGCAGCCACCAGGTATGAAAAGGAGTCTCGGGGGGAGACCTCCGTACCCAAAGAAAATCCTTTCATCTTCTGAGAATGTGACTTTTGCTGGTGTTGTAAAACAGAAAAAAGAATGCTTATTGTAAAAGTAAAAATAATAAGCAAGGAGTAAAATGTGAAAGTGTCTGCCCACATAGCCCTCCCATGCACATATGCACACCTTCCTACCCTCCTGCCTCTGCCATTCCCACACACCAGAGGTAACCACTAGTGACAATTTGGTCCTTCTGGAATTGTAGAATTATTTGAATGGAGTATGTGCATGTGTATATAGACGCATACCCACATAGGCATGTCTTTGTTTTAATGAAATCATGCTATATGGATTGTTCTGTATCACACTGCTTTATTTAAGAAGTAAAATGTGGATCCTGAGAAAGCAAGTCATTCACCTTTCATGTAATTTGAGGTTACGTGAAATAAACTATAAGAAATCCTTCATGCCAGGTACGTTGGCTTATGCCTGTAATCCTAGCACTTTGGGAGGCTGAGGTAGGTGGATTGCCTGAGGTCAAGAGTTCAAGACCAGCCTGGGCAACACAGTGAAATCCTGTCTCTACTGAATATACAAAAAATTAGCCAGGCATGGCAGTGCGCACCTGTAATCCCAGCTACTTGGGAGGCTGAGGCAGGAGAATCACTTGAACCCAGGAGGTAGAGGTTGCAGTGAGCCGAGATAGCACCATTGCACTTCAGTCTGGGTGAGAGAGTGAGACTCCATCTCAAAAAAAAAAAAAAAAAAAATCCTTCTTATTGGCTGGGCATGGTGGCTCAGCACTGAGAGGCTGAGGCGGGCAGATCGCTTGAGGTCAGGAGTTCGAGACCAGCCTGGCCAACTTGGTGAAACTCCACCTCTATTAAAAATACAAAAATTAGCCAGGCTTGATGGCACATGCCTGTAGTCCCAGCTATCGGGGAGGCTGAGGCATGATAATCACTTCAACCGGGGAGGTGGAGATCGCAATGAGCTGAGACGGCACCACGGCACTCTAGCCTGGGTGACAGAGAAGGACTCCATTTCAAGAAAAGGAAGGAAGGAAGGAGAAAGAAAAGAAGAGAAATCCTTCATATAAAATGCTATATTTCTGCCTGTTTTTGTTCTTTCTATAAATTAAATCATACAGTAATATGGAAATGAGAAGGACTAAAACGCAGAGAAATGTGGCATTAGACATAGCAACAATGAACTGTAGTTTCCGGCAGCGATGTGGATGCATCTCAGAAATATAATAGTAAGCAAAGGAAAGCAAACAAATATATACATGTTTCCTGCTGGAAGAAAATGTAATACAAAATCAGAATAGTGGTATCTTTGGGAGGGGGAAGGGGTTTTTGTGAATGTGAAGGGGCCATCACATGCTTTTAGGGTAGCTGGAAAAATTCTGTTTCTAGAGCTGGGTGATGGTTACATAGATGTTCACTTAACAATATTTAAGTTAGTTGTACATCTGTGTGTTTTGCACTTTTTTGTACATGTACATATTTTATCAAAATAATCCCTCCTTTTAAAATGGGATTGAACAGGTTAATAGGACATGAGCCATACCTGAAGAGAGAATTGGTGAACTGAAAGTGTCCATAATGCATCTCAGAGCGGTAAAGAGATGGGACATAGGAGAGAGAAGTTAAAAGATGTGGAGAATAAGATGACAGCGCCCAGCACTGCTAACATCAACACTTTCCAGCAAGAATGGGAAAACGTCTTCAAGGAGTGAGAGCACGATACATTGATTTTCAGACAAATGAGTGTTAAGAGAGTTTTCTACTGACCCCTGAAAACATGACCAGAGAATGTACTTCAGTAAGGACCCAGAAAGAAAATACAGAAGCAGCACTAGTGAGCAGAGAAATGATAAACATGTGACTGAGTCCTAAAGAACAATCAATCCAATAGATGACAGGAAGGATGAAGAAGAAACACGTGCACATAAAATAAAGCAGTCTTATTACTTCCAAATATATCAGTTATCATCATAACTGTAGTATTTACATTTAGGGAAGACTCACCGGTTTAAAGATAGAAACTAACGGATTGGTCCAAAAAAACTCAGTTCTGTGCTGTTCAGAAGCAACGCCCCTAAAATATATGGCACAGAAATAAAATAAAGAAATTGTCTGGCACAGTGGCTCACGCCTGTAATCCCAGAGGTGGGAGGATCACTTGAGATCAGGAGTTCGAGGTTGCAGTGGGCTATGATCATACCATTGCACTCCAGACTGGACAATAGAGACCCTGTCTCAAAAAAAGGAAGAGAGAGAAGGAGGGAGGGAGGGAAGGAGGGGGGGAGAGAGAGAGAAATACTAACCAAAGGAAATGTGTTTTGACCACATTAACATCAGACAAAGTAGACATTATGGCAAAAAGCGTTATTGTGATAAAGCAGTTCTTCATGTAAGAATAAATCCATAGTCACAGTGGAAGATTTAACACATTTCTTTCCATTACTGATGGGTTATCAGCAAATAATTAGTAAGCATATAAAAGATACGAACAATAAAATGAAAAAGTAGCATCCTATACTGCCAAATTAGAGAATACTCATTCCAACCACATACAAACACTTTAAAAAACCGAATACACAAAATTAAAACCTTTTGTGCACTGAAGAACATTCTCAAGAGAGTGAAAAGAGAAACCACCGAATAGGAGGTTATAACTCAATGAATAAATATCAATAAAACTGTGGGGATAGACATTAATAATTTAATAAATAAAAAACAAATGAGTGAAGATGAAGGGATAAAACTTCCCTTTTCCTTGTAGAAAACTTCCAAATATTGTATGTAGATACTTGCCCCTGTAAGAGGTGGAGCTTAATTCCCATTTTATCGATTACAGGCTGAACTTACCAACTTCCTTCCAAAGAATAGAGCGTAGGAAGGGAGACACTGTAACTTTACAAAGAAGAAACCTGGAGAACAACCCCTTAAACTACATAATCAAGGTTAACATCATCAGTGATATCCAGATTTCTGATATGAAGTGATGAGAAGGGCACTTCCTCTTACGATAGTTTTCTTCAAATCCTTAACCCCAGTCTAATCATGTGATAACATCAGAAAAACCCAGTTGAGCATCGTTCTGTGAAAACACCTGATGGATACCTTTAAAACCTACCACAGCATGAAAAACAAGGAAAGACCAACAAATTCACAGACTGGAGGGGACTGGGAGGCGTTAGAACTAAGTGTCATGTGGAAGCCTAGACTGAATTCTCGAACAGAAAAAAGTCCATTAGTGGGAAAAAAAAATGGTGAAATCCAGATAAAGACTTAGTTAATAGTATGGTACCTATGTTAATTTCTTAGTTTTTGTTTTGTTTTGTTTTATTTTTTTGTTTTGAGACAGGATCTCACTCTGTCACTCAGGCTGGAGTGAATGGCTCAGTCTTGGTTCACTGCAATCTCCAGCTCCCAGGCTGGAGTGATTCTCCCACCTCAGCCTCCCGAGTTGCTGTAACTACAGGTATATGGCACCACACCTGGCTAATTTTTGTATTTTTTGTAGAGCTGGGGTTTCACCATGTTGCCCAGGCTGGTCTCAAACTCCTGAGCTCAAGCAGTCCATCTGCCTCAGCTTCCCAAAGTACTGGGATTACAGGTGTGAGCCACCACACCTGGGCAATTTCTTAGTTTTGAAAAACCTAATAGGCCCGTATCTCGTGCCTATAATCTCAGCACTTTGGGAGGCAGAGGCAGGCAGATCACCTGAGGTCAGGAGTTCAAGACCAGCCTGGCCAACATGGTGAAACCCCGTCTCAACTAAAAAAAATACAAAAAAAT